TTCCCCCCCCCCCCCGGGGCCGGGGGGGGGCTCTCCCCAAAAACGCGGGGGGGGGGGGGGGCCCCCAAACACCCCCCCCCCGGGGGGGGGGGGGGGGAAACCCCCAAAAAAACCTTTTGGGGGGGGGGGGGGGGCCCGCCGGGGGGGAGGAAAAGTTTCTGATGGGGGGGGGGGGGGCCCCCAAACACTCTTCCCCCAGAATCAATTGTAAAATTTGAAGGTTTGGGACCAAGCTCTGTCGAAAGCTTTGTCTAGATTTTTTGATTAACTACAGATGGCAGCTTACAGTGGAATCGTCAACGAATGTACTTGTGGTCCGATAAAGTTTCAAATTTTTCAGGCTTATTTATTTATTGGATAATTTTTTGCATGTTATATTGCAGTATTATATTTAGTTATAAATAGAAATTATGCTTTTAAATCATTATTATTTATGTGAAAAACCGTGTAGTGCGTTCATAAAATTTATAAAATTTATATTAATAACAAAAATATATAATAACGATAACAATAATAGTAATAATTCTATAACAATTAATGAAATTCTGTAATAATCTTAGTAGTAATAAGGTAAAATAAAATAATTGTATATGATAATAAAAGCTTTTTGTTAAACTTTATCTGATTTAACTTTATTTAACCAATTTCTGTAAAGTTGCATATAAAAGATAATTTTTCGAAAAATAAGGTCATAAAGAAGTTTCAGTTCTTACGTGTGTACACGCACACATTTTTTTTATTCTTGATTTTATCTATTCTAGTTGTAGACTACAACTACAACTAGGTTAGAGATAGATACTACTACAACTTGTAGTAAGCATTACTATTATCTTACTACCACTATTTAATATCGAAGAACGAGTGTCGAAAATGAAAAATATTTTTTATTTTTCAAGAATGAAATCTTATATTTTTTTAATGTTTTGATATACGTACAAAAACAAGCTGGACCCCGGTTACGCATATGATGGCTAGTGATACGGTAAACTGCGCGAAAGTCGACTCCGTGAAGCATCGTTCTAGTTCATTCACTGTCTCCAGGGTATCTTGGTGCTCAGCTATACAGTTACTGAGGCGAACTGTCACAATCTCCTCTTGCTTCTTGGTTAAACGCTGAAATAACTCAAAACAGTCAAGGAGATAACAACCCATACAAATCGAACACAGAATCTATCTCGTACTTTTGACCTTATGCTCCTGCCTCTATGCCTCCTCCTATTTTAAGAATATAATTTTACTAACATATATAAAGAAAGTAGTAAAGTCACTCAAGGTAGTAGATAACTAGGTAAACTAGAAAATAAGGCAAATATTATGGTCGATAAATAAAATGTTAAACATACGTTGTTAACTATATGCATATCTCTGCACAACCCTTTTAATGCAATACTAATGAGTCGAAATCTGCAGCGACATTGAGCAATAAGCGCCATTACTACAATATCTTTGCTGGCGTTCATACTAGCTGACAGCATCAGAGACATCGACTGATGTAGGTAGGCGATCTCGTACATTGGAGACTGGGACGCGTTGAAAGGGTACCTGGGGCGTTAGAATATATAAGAATAATAAATAATAAAACTTTATTCATGACAAATAGGTTGTGTCAAAATTCATATATCGCTAGGGAGTCCCTGTGTTGTAGACTGTAAGTAGATAAATATTTGTCAGTGGTACAAATTTGTATATGGTACATCTTTAAACAGTTTTTAGAGAAAAAGTAGGTTTAGTTACAACTAATCAAACATAAGACAAAACAGAAAACTTATAAGACATTAAGTATGTGTGATTGTGTGAGTGTGTGAATGGGTGTATGTGTGCATGTATTTGAGAGTGTAGCTAAGAGTTGTCATAAGCGTGCGCTGTGTCTTTGTTAGTTTTTGGCACCTCAGAGTCATGCCAAGATACGTAGTAAGGCCTCTGGCCAGCTAGCGCAATTTTTATGTGGTTCGTGAGTTTGTATCTGGAGTTTAACTATCTCAAAATCCATATATTGGGAAACTTGATTATAAAGGAAGGGGCCCCTAAATGCAAAGAAGCGTTGGTCAAACACAGTCCTTCGTTTTGGCGTCAGGAATACAAAACGTCTGTTCTTAGATGTGTCTGGGTTAGTCCATGGAGTTTGTGATATCTTAAACAGATCGCTAAGATGTATAGCATTCTTACTGAATAGGTTTTTGTTTCTCGGTAGTTTTGTTTCTATATAGTTGAATAGAATAATTTGTGATCATAAAAGTATTATTGAATGTGTTGATTAATAGTATATAATATATAGCTGCTTATGATAACATTGTTTCTCGCGGATAAAAAAATTGGGATATACTCAAACTCAAAATATCTTTATTCATGTAGTTAAACAAGTACACTTATGAATTGTCAAGTTAATTTAATTGTAAATTTACATTTACTACCAGTTCGCAAGTCAAGGGCGTAGATCGGGTAAGAAGAACTGGCAAGAAACTTTCTACCACTCTTTTTAATCGCCAAGTATTGTCATACAAATTGTTTGAACTGGAGCAAATCAATCCCAAGGATTAGGGTCATTTAAGTATTCCTCAAACTTATAAAAAGCTTTATTGATTAATTTCCGTTTAACGAGGGCTTTGAATTTATTTAGTGATAATTCTCTATAGTGTAGTAATATAGGATAAGGTCTTTGTTTTAGAAATACAAAAGAGCAATTTTGTTACTTGCTATTATTTAAGAATTATGAGATTTAGAAGTTTCATATATAATAGATACTTGCTACGGGAGTATTTTTGTTTAAATATGTAGTACATTTAACTAACCAAGCTCTCATGGGTAGCTGTTTATTTTGATTTTCTGTCGCTGCAGCAAGAGCCCATAGTGATATAGTTGTTGCGGTCAGAAATGCATATAACATTGAATGTATATTGACTTCGCGGTTACATCTGTAAAACACAATATATTTTTTTATTTTATTTAGCGAAGGTATAAGTAATTATAATTAAAAAAATGTGGGTTATAAGATGAAGTCGCGTTATTATAACAATTTTATAAATAGTTTAAAGGTACGATACCTTTATCACAAAGAGTAGATATAAAAATAGTAATAACACAGTGCACATTTTCTAGCAACTAATAATTAAAATATGTGTATGACGAGAAAATAAAATAACTATACAATATATACTAAGCTTACTTTTTAACAGCTTTTTTGGCGTCAACAGTAATTTGCATTTTCAATACGTTATTATTTTTTTTAACGATGCTCTTGATACGAGCAGCTCTCACCACCATGTTGAGAATCTTTAAGCTGTGGGTCAGATTTGTTAACAGAACAAACGCACTCGCCGTCATGAGTTGTATATCTCCCCAGATAATGAATAAATCAGTAGCTTGGATTATGATGAATGTGCCTAAAGATTGTATTAATCATTTATTATATAGGCTTTGATTGAAAGCGTTATTCAAAATATATTTATATTTATGAAATTAATGATATTTATAAGGGTTAAAATAAAGAAGTAATTGTAACTTTGCTGTAGTAGTATTTTTTTTATAGATTTTTTGTGATTCATAGAAACAAAAATTTTAAAAATTAAGTCATACCTACAACTAGCATATACACTAAGCCTGTATGCCAAGTATATAACATTCTTTTCCATCCTAAAGTATCTGGAGCCCATAACCCCATAATCCTTAGCCAAGTGAGCGATACCCGAAGGGAATAGTTAGTATTATTAATGAAAAAACTCATTTCTAAGTATGAAATACGTCGTTCTTTTGTTTTGTCTACAATATATTTGAAACAAAAGAAGAAAACCCGCACACTTAATAACATAACTGTACAAAATTGATTTAATTTGTGAATACAGGGATGTAACACACAAAGAAAATTTTGATTTATCTTTACCTACTGGATTTTTTTATTTTTTTAAGTTAGTTTATATCTTCTGACCTAGAAATACATATTTGTTCTATTTATGGTCATAGAATTTGTATTTATACAAAATTTTTGTTTTTTGTTTTAGTACATTATTCATTAGAAACAAAACGCAATAATGTACTAAAACGCACAACGGAATTAATGTATTACACAAAATGTTTTTCCGGATTTGGGTGATTCAGCTTTTCAATAATATTTAAACAGAATAAGCAGTATCTTATACAAATATATTTAATCGTTACAAAAAGACATAAAATTTAAAAAAGGTTTTTTTTTCTATTGTTACATTTCGTTCCCAGAGTTGAGTAACTCACACAGCGATTTTCATCAATTATCGACAATTCAATCTAGCGTTGTCACTTGCAATTAGACAATTAAATATACACAGACTTTTACGCTTTATTGAAAACAAACAATTAATTTGATTATGTATTTCGTTTATATTTGTGAACCAAAAGCTAACAATATTTCAAAATATGAGTATAAATCATTTGAATTTAATTTAAATACACTGACACACATATACACATACACTTACAAATATTTCTCTTACGAGTCTATCAATATTTGAATACTTATAAATCGAATTTTAATAATTAAACATATAAAATAATAAAACAAAAATTAATTATAATATTTATATTTTATTTATAATAAATAATAATATCTAGAAACTTTTTGTTGGTAAGAAGCTATATTTATTACAACACTTAAAACAACTAATTTTATTGTATTCTAAAAATCCTATAGGTTTACTAAAACTAGTTTGAAATACTACATAGGATTCCCGATTCAGGTCCATATTTTTATTCGCTTACTTGGCGTAATACCGTAAAAAATGTGTACGATGCCTTTAAAATCTGCAATAATTCAAAGATAATCTTAATTACAATTCACTTCAAAATTAATTTATGAAAAAATATACTTACTCTCATGAAAGAATCCAGAGAAAGAGAAGTAAATCCCCCAGCAGTCAGCTTAGCAGTCCGGCCACAACGCGTCATTAAGATCAGCGTTGACCGATGCACACGCACGCTGCACGTATACCATGGCCACTCGTACGCAGAACGGGCAACATTCTCACTCTGCAATACATTTTACTCCAGAGAGGATACAACAGGATGCCCTATTCCGTTGTTATAATTTTAGTTAGCTCATAAGTAGGTCGGCCTTAGACGGTAGAATTATCTACTATTTAAAAATGATCATAATAATACCAGCGGCGCTACCACTTTTTCAGGTCTGGGCCTCATACTTCTGTATCTGTTTCATAATCATTTAATTTTCTTAATAGAGATGTAGTAGGTGATCAGCATCCTGTGTCTGATACATGCCGCCTAAGACAAGCCGGTTTCCTTACGATGTTTTCCTACACAGTCCGAGTGGATAACATTGCACAACCGGGAATTGAACCTACATCCTCAGGGATGAGATTCGTTTGCTAAAGCCACTAAGCCAACATTGCACTTTAAAAATAGTGAAGTAAAAATGCCACAATACTATCCAACGTAGAACTGTTTTTTTATAAAGCTAATTTGCTACGATGTTATATATGAAACTTAGCTAACAATAAAATTTCGAAGACAGTTACCTCTACTGCCAGTTCGTTTCCTTCATAACAATAAATAAAAATTTGTTCCATCATATTTAAAAGGTATGTTGCAATGGAAGCCATTCTGACAAAGTTACCGATTTGCTAAAAATATTAAAACATTTTACAATACAATTTTTATAAAGATTTGAATATATGATTACTTAGCAAAAAAAATACCATAATAATATTTGAATTGTATTTTATAAAGATCTAGTTAATGTCCTCTGGAGGCGACGTTAAGGGAAAATGAACTTTGTTTTTTAATATTATATTAGTGCAATTATAAACTGATGTACCGATGTTATTGTATTTCGACCAATAGATGAGGCCGTGGAGTCCCACGCAGTTAGTTTAGTTTATTTAAAATAATATTCTTTTACATTCCATTATTAATACAACTTGTAAATAAACATAATAGCTGAGATTCCTACAAATGATTATTAGACACATTTCATCCTAACTCAATCTTGGCAATGTCTTAGAACTCATATCATTATAATTATTAGTTACTTTGCTTACCTTAGTGAGCTGAAATGCGGTAAAGCAAATGATGACGAGTGAGACGGTGAACTGTGCGAAGGTGGGTTCTGAGAAGCAGCGTTGTAGCTCATTCAGTGAGTCTAAGATATCTTGATGCTCGCGAATACACTTATTAAGTCTGGCCTGTACCATCAAATCATGTGCTTGCGACATACGTTGCTAGTAATAATAAAATGTTCTAAGTTAAATCATTAAAAGTATTTTCTTTCTCGTCTAAATTTAAGAACACAAATAATTAATTAGTATTTATAAAGATACAATAATATTCTAATTATATTTGTATCGAACAACGCCACCTATACATGCTTCTCGGCAAACTGCGGCTCGTAGAAAGGTTCGTAGCGTGCTACCTCGTAGTGATCGCTACGACGATTTACCTAGTTAAAACAGATGGGGCAGATACATTTTACTCTTCGCAGTACCAAAGAGCTTCTCCTACATGATACATCCTCTCTACGAGATGTAATAATAAGAGGTATAAGATTTATATTTTTTCGTGTACGGTTTCATAACATTATATATATAGATTCTATACGTATATTAAGACGTCAAAAACTTAAATATCATTTTAATTTTTTGTAATTACTTATTAGTGGCTGCTACTGGAAGAGGCCAGATGTTAGCAATAATTTCCCCCGTGTCTCTCTTAATAACTGAGATTGCATGTTTGTTCACTTAAATACTCCGTTAGTTATTTAATATACATATGGCGTAAAAACTGTAATACGGATTTTATATTATTGTATTTTTTGTTACAATTTTGTAACCTAAACGGATATAATTCCACGATAGAATGCTTTTTCTAGCAATTTTTTGTCACTCACCACCTTTTTAGGGAATCAGGACTGCACCCCCCCAGTCGGCGTTTTTGAAAAAAAATATAATGGGTTTAAAAAAAACCTTTTTTTGCAGTTACCATCGTTCCAGGACTCATATCCACACAAAGAGTTTTGAGATCGCATCCTACAAGTTTGAATCTGCAACGGCACTGTGCTAGTAATGATACCACCACCATATCTTTACTGATGTTCAGACAGGCCGCCGCATAAATGGCACATATCTGGTGCAAGTATGTCAGCTCATAGGCCGGAGATTTACTCCAATCGTATGGATACCTACAGAAAAAACCTTATTGATAAATAAAATACATTAAGTAGTAGCGGGGTTTTTGAATTGTGTGGGTGAAAATGGTTTTTTGATTTGGCCCGGCTATGTATCAATCGATTTTCTTTATGTGTCATTTTCTATGACTGCATTTCAGAAATTATCTTACTCAATCGAATTACACATAAGGCTAATCACCTACTAAAAAGGAAAAAATTGGAATGGAAATGCTACCTGAAATTTTAATTATTAGCGGAAATCAAGGAATTAATTTTTTGTTATTTGCGATATTTCCATCGAAAGCAAGAATCAGACATTACACGATCATTTTGAAAAATATATTTTGTATGAGAAATCTTTGCTGAATCCGACGGTTTACAAATAACAATAGAACGTGAGATTTGTTTGTACAAAGTGTTGGTACGTGGGAAGCACTGAAATTTTTTAGAACTGGCCAGTTAGAAACATTTTGAATTTCAATTTTAGAACTCTTGGTAACCTAGTGTAGTATATAGGCGGCAAATCTAAAATTCTTGTTACACGTGAAAATAAACCTTACTCGAGAAAATTTTCGGTCAATGATTTATTATGACTTTCGTTGTGGGCTTACTCAACACAAAGCTATTATATAGGCTGCGATTAGCATTTCTTAATGAAGCCCCATCTCGTGCCATTATTTACAATTGGTTTTACGAGTTTAAGCGTGGACGTAGCAAACTCAATGATGATCAGCGTGAAGGACGTCCTTTAACAGAGACTACTGTAGATAACATCAGTACTGTGCGACGCATGATAGAGGAAGATAAGAAAGTGACCTATCAGTAGAGACGGGTATGAGTCAAGTTCAAAAAATATTACACGAACATTTAGGCGTCAGAAGCTTTGTACCAGATGGATTCCCCATACTTTAACCGGCGACCAGAAACACCTTCGCATGGACTGGTGTCGCCAAATGTTAGATAAGTTCAACGGCGGTGACTCAAATGCTGTACTTGACATCGTCACAGGTGATGAAAGCTGGATATATTGCTACGAACCCGAAACCAAAAGACAATCAGCTCAGAGGGTGTTTCCTTTCGAGGATCGGCCAACTAACGTGAAGAAGTCAAGGAAAAAAGATGATTGCCTCATTGTTTGGTCGGAAAAGTCATTTCGCGACAGTTGTGCTAGAAGATGGAACGACAGTTACTGCAGACTGGCATGTCAATCGTTTGCCTGTTGTCTTGAATAAAATTCGACAGCAGCGCCCTCGAAGCAGGATCCTCCTTCCCCACGACAATGCTTCAGCGCACTCCGCAAAACGGACTGTTGAATATTTGACTATGGCAGGTGTCGCGATAACGAGACATCCGCCATACAGTCCTGACCTGGCGCCCTGCGACTTTCATTTATTCCCAAGAACTAAAGATAAAATTGGAGGTATCACGAGCCCTGAAGATGCGGTGAAAGCCTACGAAAATGCCATAGAAGAGACCCCTAAGAAATAATGGGCCCACTGCTTTTCTCAGTGGTTCCATCGAATGCGACGATGTGTAGAGAGGAACGGATATTACTTCGAATAATAGTATTGGCAACTTTCTACATTAAGCCGTTTTTCATTTTCTAAACATTTTCAGTGTTACCTATGTAGGCAATAAAAAATAATTTAAGTTGAAGAGAATGAGATAATTTATTTATAGAATTAAATAATATTATGACATTTAGATTTTTATTTGTTTTAAGGTTTGTCATAATACAACAAAGTAGGTATTTAAATCTCACCAGGCCTGCAGTGGCAACTGTAAGTTCTGAGACTCAAGAGCCGGTCCCACCGCAAAACCTATCAGAGTCACTGTTGTGAGGGTAAGAAAGGTCATCAGATGAAGAGTTGTTCCCCGATTGCAACTGCAAATTTAATATTTGTTTAGAATAATCCAAATATAATAAAGAATTTAACACGGTGTTTTCGTGTATATCTTTTGTGTTACCGCAAATCGGCATATGAAAATATAAAAGGTTTTTTATGAACCGACTTTCTTTTTAGAGTGTATGGAGTGCAATAAGTTGATTATTAGCCGCCTTACTTACTGCGGGAGATTTATTTTTTGTTAATCAGAGAAACTGACGTCAAATGATTTCCGATATTGTTTGACGTCGGTTAAAATACTGATATCAAAGAAGCGTTCTAGTGATAGCGAACAATTTTAAGATAATAATTTAATAGATTTTTTCGTTTTGGTTAGTAGTAGTTTCGTAGTAGTTAGATTCCTTTAGGTTCGATGTCATAAAATATAATATAAAACAGGCATACCTTCGAATGATGTCGACCTTCTGCTGTCCAGTAGCATTTTTTAGGACATAGTCATTTCGGTCGATGATATGTTCTATACGACGCCTCCTTACCAGCAGGTTGAAGATCTTCACACAGTGTACGAGATTAGTGCACAACACAAAGGCGATTGACGTCATCAATGACAGATTCCCCCAGTTCTGCCAAAGGTCTACCAGCTGGATCGCTATGTATGTACCTAAACCGAGCATATAAGAAATTTTAGTTTAACATGGGCATCACATAGTCATTGGGGCAATAGATAGCCCTGAGAACTGCAACCTTTTTCCACGAAAAGTGGTGGCTGCCGACTGTAAAGATTATTTATCTTATATATATATTCATTTTATAGCCGGCAAAGGAAATTCGATTTAAGAAGTAACCTTTATAGGATTTAAAAGTTAGCAGAGTAAAAAACTCTAAGTTCCTTGATCCCAGTCTCTTGGCGAAAGTGACTGTATGAAAACAGTCAGGGTTAAAGTGAAATTTACAAATTAATTTGTATTGATTATCTTACCCAAAATTAACATAAAGATAAATAAAGAATAGGTATAGAAAAGAATTTTCTTCCATCCCGAAATTCCTACGGAGGGCCACAAGCCAAGCACTTTCAAATATGTCAAAGAAAAGCGTAACGAAAAATTTGTATTAGGAATCACTATAGCCATGGCTAATGGTAAACCTCTACTGTGTAACGTGTCAGTTGTAATAAAGAACTTTATAGGCTGTATTTGTCTTTAAAGGTATTAAAACAGATATCCTAAACCTTTTAATAATCTAAAAAAATCCCTAGTAATCGGCATGTGGTGGTTTTGTTGGTCTTCAGAATTTACATGAACTTTAGTTGCCTGCATGAAGTGCCTTTACTCAGCTCTGATCTGCCGTCTCCAGACATCTCTAACATTGCTCTGCCCTTATAGGGCAGCTTATACGAGTATATCAGACAGGTTAGTACTGAATGGACCCGGACTTGACAGAATAGATGACAATTGTTGCTACAGATTGATTTTTGTTAAGCTGCCTTGCGATTCTGTAACTCACTTTTCGAACTCACACAGCGGCGGTCATTTTACGATTTGACATTCTGATAAACAATAAAGCAGTCATTTTAAATGCAATTAAATGCGCATTCGTGATTTAGGAGCCGTTGCACGCTTGATTGTGAGTTACAGAATCGCAAGGCTGATCCTTTAAAATTTCGCAAAATTACTTTATTGAAGATATAGAAAGCAATCGCAAGATAAGAAAGTAATTTATAAGACTTATAAGTGTGTAAACAGATATTAAGTTTTCTTGAATTGAACAATAATAATCAGTTAAAATAATCGTTTAAAATTTTTAGTATCTACTAAACTTTTCAAACTTAAAATAGTCGACATAAATAAAAATTCAGTTATGCCAAAATTCTTAATAATTTCAAGCAATAGTAGCATAATATTACAAAATGTGTTATACTTCTGAAAGGCAACGACACATGCAATTATCTGCTTATACAATTATAATTTTATGTTTACTCAAGCAAACTGTTAGCTTTCCGAACTAAATGTGTATTTGGCTTGTTTAATGCCGTGATGCCTGGTATTTATGTTTAAAATTTAATATAAAGTTGCTTTCATATAGTTCTCTATTAAATTTTAAATTATCAACCCTATAAGTAAATAGCCAAGCGATTGGTATGTACTTGTGTGCGGGCCGTAGTAAATCAAAATTTCCTCACAACACACTTACACACTAGGCATGATTGCCGTACTATGATGTCAGCAAATTGTCCATAGCATTCGGTGGCAAGTGGTGCATTTACTACGGTCCCCGTTTTTTCTCCTCTCATGGCTTATCCGTGCCAAGTTTTCAGCTCTGTTTGCCCTGCCTCTTTCCTTGATTTTTCCAATCCAGCTTGACATGAACAGAGTGTGTGGCCTATGCAGCATGTTATCGTGCAGTACAAGTGGAACTGGATAGGATAGAGGGCTTACTACTAGAACCATTTTCAACCAAGCTCGGAAATATAGTGTAACAATGGCTTTTAATATAGAATAATCATAAATATATTTTACGACATTTCATATTATGACTATTTTGAAATCTGTCTACAGTTTTAACGAATTTTAGTTTCGAAAAGAATGTAAAGACATGTCGATAGTCACTCTCGACCAAAGGAGTGTTGGACTGGAATAAAATGAACGCATGTGAAACACGTTATTCAAGATTTTACTGTACACTGGCTATCGCTAGCTTTGAAGAAGATAAGGGATGAAGAAAAGGGATGGGGCATGTGATGCGGGTCAATACAGTTCAAAGAATTATCAAAATATTATAAAACTATTTAAATCCTACTGAAGATATATTTTGTTGAAGTTAATAAAAACATACGATATTATAAATATAAGCTTACCTTTTGGCTTTCATTTTATAACCTACATAAAGCTTTAGCATTTAGATTTTTAGGTGAAGTTTTTAATTAAGCATGCACACATCAGGGCAGCGCTAGCGTGCAAACTAGCTGACCTGGCAAACGTCGTTTTGCCATGTATATCGTACAAACGATATATTACAAAATAAAAAAATAGGGGTTGATCGTAGAGGGGTGAATTAGGGGTTGTATGTATTTTTTAATGCTGTATCATAAAAAAATTAAAAACTCATTTAAAAATTAAGAAAAAAATTTAGGGGTGGACTACTCTTAACATTTAGGGGGATGAAAAATATATGTTGTCCGATTCACAGACACACCCAATATGCACACAAAATTTCATGAGAATCGGTCAAGCCGTTTCGGAGGAGTTTAACAACAAACACCGCGACACGAAAATTTTATATATTAGATATATTCTTTGGACTCATTAAAATTTAAAAACAGTTACAACTTTAACTTACCACCTTAATTTTTCACAGACCCATATTTTACTACGTTTTATATATAATCCTAACCTTTTATGAAAATTAAAGAATAAAAAGTGTAGAAATGGTGCCGTATATTAATGAGTGCAGCCTCGAGAGACTGGGGCGGCTCGATTGGTCTCATCTGTGATTCTCACAGAGTGAAGCGCTACGTACCGGATACACAGTCGACGATTTATATTTGTATCAATGAATAGTTTTATAATATTTAATGAAGACTACTCCATGCTTAGTAACGTGCATTGTGTTAATTAGTCGTTGCGTTCGATTCAAACACACCTAGTGATTTGGTCTGTCCTTTTTTTCCATTGGAATGCATTTGTTTGCATTCCGGATAAGTGTAGTAATAGTAAAACCATATTTCTAACATTTTTAAACGACTCAATTCCATGACTTCCAGAAAACTTTTTTTTTTAAATAAAATTCACTTTTGTGTTCTCATCCTAACTTCAGCGAATGCTGCATTATCAAATGGGAGGCACCTGTTGCTGTGGGCGTATCCTCGCCACGCCCCTTGCCGCCTGTTGCCTCGGCAAGCCAAGTGGACCCAGTGTCTCAGAGCCAGTCGGCGAGCCTGCACCCCTGGCCACTCCGCTGTTCAGCCATGACGCACCTTCTGCGATTCGACGTCAGCTTCCTGTCACCGGAACGCTGACGATTACTCAAACAAAAGGTAAGAAAAATACTTGTTTTATACATTATTTCTACACAATTTTATTTCTTTTTACACAATTTTTATTTCACAATAAAATTGGCTCAACAATCTATTATAACATTACCGGTATGGTGGATTATATTAAATTTCCTAAAATTATCTACAATTCACAAAATATTTTTATTATTTCTTATTCCTATGATTTCCTCAAGGCACCAATTTAATTCAGTGTTGAAATACGAAACGCTCATCATTCTGATATCAGATTTATTTTAAATTGTAAATAGTTTTAGGAAACGACGTGTCAATATTCTAAATACGTGCCTTATGAGTAAGTTGTATAGTTAGATTTATTCAAAGAACGTACGAATATAACTTATAGATTAACTTACATTACTAAAACATGTTTGATGTTCAGTTTTAATATAGGGAAATTCACGCTTATTCATAAACACACAGTATCACAGATCACAGATCACAGTAAAATCCTTTTTAAAAACTATTTTTGTTACGCGTTCCATACTTTTTGTGTTTTAACATTATCATAATCCTACTAAACTTGTTCTTTTGATTACTCTCACTAAAACTAGATACGACGAAGACTAGCAAATATGGAAAATTTTAATTTAGAAAATTACTACTTTAATATGTACTCATAAGAAAAACTTTTTTAGTCCAACGCAAGTTCAATATTACTATTCTGTCGCATTAATAATTCTATTGTACGTAGTAAGGCTACAGTAACCTCTTGGCAGTAATAGTTTATATTTGAAACCAAGAAACGTGAATTTCCATTAAATGTTCCTCGTATAACACAATGTAGCATTGTTTGATTTGAATATATTAGATATCAAAATATAACTACGAAGAGATGTAATAATGGTACGGCAAAAGAAAATAGTTTCCGTTATTAGTGAAGCAAAGGGACACGACCTTTAATTCCATGAATACCGGTTACACAAACAGAGACAAGTTGCCTATTTCTGCTAAATGCTTTGAGTGTCCCTTGTAAACATCAAAATGCTGACAATATTTTTAATTTAAGTAGTAATTTTCAGTAAATAATTCATGCCAATAAAATTTCTATGTTCAAGAAATAATAGCCGACATCAATTTTTGTTAGATTAAATAGAACTCGTTATAACGAATTCTAGATCATCAACGGTACTCCATCGTGCCGTGGTTCTAATTTAAATCGACATTAAATTAAGACAAAATATCAAAATCATTACAATGAAAATGTATCTATATATCACAGAAAATTGCTCGATTTTTATTTACAATTTGATTTGGTTATGAAACGAATACCAAATCAAAACCAAAAGAATAATCAGGCCTGGGTACTCTTAGAAAGTAGTGCTTACCACCGCCTTTGGGCACAAAGCAACACCAAGATGCTCGGGTATCTTGCTGAAGTTAATAAATAAACTTCATGTTACGAACACATTTTGTATACCATACTTATTCTATAACTTAGTTGAATGTTTGAAATAATAACTTCCCACATTTTTTGAAAGTATTACGCAAAGCGTGAAAACTCAAGATTACAACTTCAGTCAGAAATTCTAAAAATGTTTCCAGTTAAAATGAGCGCAAATTCCGAGATAAAACAAAAATCTCACTGTGACACAAAAGGATGTTATTTTTATTCTCGGACTTTGAAAGTATTTTTAATTGTTAAAGAAATTCAGGGTAGGTAGGGGAAAGTATAATACCTATTTTGTATTAAACATTTAATGTGAATCTTGCACTTGTTTAATTTATTTATAATACACTCTTTTGCACAATATAATGTAGTGTAATTATTGTGCAAAAAGAAGCAGTTGCTTGATGGTATTGTCAATGACAAATATTGTAAATTTACCTTTATTTTTGAACTAATTCTATTAACGCAGCTATAAATATTATTGTTGCTTACCGCTTGATAAATTACTGGACTAAAACGTCTGATAAATAAAGAAAATTGTCATAATCGATCTCTTCTAAGTACGATAAAAAGAAATACCAAAAAATGCGAATATTAAGTACGGAACTAATTTAATTTGCCACTCCATGTTTATAAAAGTACATATTAAACGAGAAATGGGAATACCTAAATTACTATTTATGATAAATTAGTCAGCTAGGGCTGATAAAGGCTTTGTCTGCATGTAAAAAGGTTTCGATTGTAAGCGTAACCTTATTCATATCCGATAAATACTCAGATTTTATTAAATCTATTATTACATTTAGAACAAATCCGTTTTCTGTTCACGGTTTTAGCTAAATCAATTGTCTTTTCATCAGTGCGTACCACAATATATAAAAAGAATTAGTATTATGAGTCGTTAAATTTTACGAAGAAAGAGATTTATATCTTAACAGTACAATATCTCCCTGAGTCACGGGTATATTCCGTAACCTTGTTATAACTATATTTAAGTTAGGATAAACCGAGACACACCCTGTCTAGTATAATAGGAAACGTATCGTCTAGGAAATAATATTGGCACTAGTAAAGGTTATATAGCAAGCCATTCACGCAATTTTGGATATCGTTCATTTGTTTCATTTGTTCTTTGAAGACAATTGTAGTCCTTTCCAATACTGTTTGTTATAAAACACGTCGAATTGATAACCTCCTCCTTCGGTTTTTTGAAGTCGGTTAAAATTAAATTAATAAACGTACCTCTCTAGTAATAACATTACTTATTCAAAAACTTATAAATACAATTCTTTAACCCCATTTTATGTTATAATTGGAAGTTAGGTAGATTGGTAGCTTCAACCCTTAGATTCAAATAAATTGATCTGTTGACTTAATGGAATTAAAATGAATAAAAGATGTCATAAAACGCTCTGTTGAATTGAGATTAATCGAACATTGTGTTTTTTTTAATATTCATATAAAAGTATATTTATATATCTACATTTTTATTCCTATGAATATTGATACACGTTTCGATAAAACTGGCTTGCTATTTCATTTTGATAATTTTAATCCTTTCTTCTGACGGTGAAGCCGAATAATGGTATGAACCATACATAACTGAATTATAACCTATTAGCGTATAGTAATTTCTCCATTTTGTTGTATTGATATCGTTTGTTAATATTGTATTTTTAACATGAATAGTTGTTACTTGTCTTAAACACTTCTTCTCATATCTATTTCCGGTTAATAGGACATTAAGAGAGTTACTTAGTAACTAAAAGTTATGATTCTGTAAAGACAACTTTCGCAAATAAGGAGTGTGTGATATGTCTTTAATTTTAAATCGAGCCATGAAAGCAGTGTTCGGGCTACTTTATTGTCAATAACATTTGAGGGGCCGTAAACATACAAAAGAGACCCTGCCCCGCGCGGTGTCGAAATCTTTGCATTTTATCTCATTCCGTTACGTTTACTGTCCCCTGGCCCCGATACTATAATCCCTATATTTTAAATGGCTCATCAAACCCAGGATGTGACTTTGAAAAACATGCGTTTTATGTAAAATTCGTGATTCAATGAAATATTAAATGATATTTAAATTAAAAGAAAGGGTAGGGCACTAGTGCCTTCAGCTGGCGGCTCTCTTCACTGTACGCAATTATCTCTCGCTTGTACTCTGAAGGAACAGCTTGAGGAAACAGCCATGCCTCTACTCGTCAGCGTGTGGCAGGCGCAGAAGTTGATCACGTACTTCATACTTGTCTATTTGAAAAATAAATGTTCTTGAAACAGATAAAGTCCAGACCTATCAGGATGTCTTTTTAATTATAAGAACGCCTACACATTTCGTTGTGTATTTTTTTTCAGTATAACATGAGTTTTTACACTAATTTTAATTGATCATAGTTTCTTTTACGTGTATATTAAAAACTATTCTCTCTACTCCATAATCTCTTAACGGCTTGGAACTAATTGAATAAAGAAATAAAAATATCCATAAGTATAAGCTTAACTGGTTCACAGCAGTATTTTAATTTGACTATACTACAAATCGTATTATTAGCAGCAGAAGTACCAAAACGTGATGCTCAACAAAGGTGTCTAAGTAAGTGTTCCAAGCTCTTTCCGCCTATCTTAATTACAGAGATTCCTTCACTTCAAAACTAATTGGACATAAACCGGCTTTTACACGTAAGGGGAAATAAACCTGATCCAATGATTAACTGTTCATTACAATTGATCTATGCATTAGCGATTTGTTTACGTTATAACTTCGCTTCTGTATTAGTTTATTTCTATTCATAAGATTTCTTTGGTGTCTTAAATAACTGATGAAGCGGAAAGTGCAACTTCTCAACCTGTTTTATTAGATACTAAAAAGCCGTCGTGTTTAAAGTCGTAGTAAATGAAGTGAGTAAGCTCGGAAGGGTCATTCTCATTATTGGTATTTGTCAAGCAATCTGCAGCGCGGTGCCGCCGCAAACACGACAAATTGTCCGCGTGTTTGTACAGCCCCGCAACCCCGCGTCTGATGGAGCGGCTACGACTAATACTTGTTGATACCACCTCGTTATATATACTGCTTATGGGCATTTTAATTGATTTTGCTTACTATCAGTCCTACTGAGAATCGTTATCTGTAGTAGTAGAATAATAATTATATGTCTAAAGAGCGATTAACGACAAAACTTAATGCCGGTAATTTAAAAACTGCCGTGTAAGTTAGATATTTTACTGTCCTTTCTGAGTATCTAAAGTTAACCGTATAGCTTTTATTAACGAATGGTTGAGTATGTTTCCTTAGTTTGATATGTTCAATATTTGTTATCAGGGCGAAAGCCCTGTGCCCGAACGGCGTAGCGGCGAGTTTGAAGAAACCGGCGAGATGCAACCCCCCCGAACCGCCGCCGGCTCACGCTACCACATCCGCTTCCTCTACTTCCGCTAACACGCAGCCCACAACCAACAAAGTAAGTTTAAACTAAGATAAGTAACCGTTTATCTCGCCACCATATGTTGGCGTTATTATTATACTTCTATGTGACTTCTTAAAAAGAATAGAAACTATATTTTACCACACCAGTTGCCTAAGAGCCGCTCAATGGTGGTGTCGCTGACGCCACCACGAGAGCGAGAGACATGGGCGAAGAAGGCAGAGTTCTTGTTAGCTGTGGTAGGATTCGCGGTAGATCTGGGCAATGTCTGGAGGTTTCCCTATATCTGTTACCAAAACGGAGGCGGTACGTACTATTACTATTTGTCATATTGAAGCACTTATATCTCTTGATTATCAACTGCTATAGCAAAGAAACGGCTGCTCGCCTTATCACCTAGAATCATTATATAATCAGCATATCACCTAGAAATAATCTTTTAAAATAGACAAAAACATACGTTGTATGCTTATTGCGAGATTTTCGAATTCATTCAACTCAAAGTCTGAGCTTGAAGCTACGATACGATCTTAAAATTTAGCATTCTCCAGAATCATTTATTCAAACAACCGTTAAACATGACTTATTCAAGAATTTAAAAAAAGCAGTTCTTCCATCTCAATTTTTTTACGTTTAGGCGTTCTTTGATGTGGTAACAATAAAACAAAACAATGCTACGAAGCCATTAAACATTATACAATATTTTTTACACTTGTAATATGTATGATGATTTATCGACACAGGTGCGTTTCTGATTCCTTATTGCGTGATGCTGTTGTTCGGAGGTCTACCTCTCTTCTTTATGGAGCTGGCACTCGGTCAATACCATCGCTGCGGGTGTCTCACACTTTGGAAGAGGATTTGTCCCGCTCTTAAGGGTAATTTTGTATAGAAACTGTAGAAAAGTAATAAACACGAGTTCTGTTTAATGACGGTTCCTGGGGCGTATAACAGATTCTGTTCCGATTTACGGAAGATAAGTCCGTTTTACGCGTTCATTACCTAAATTTAAATATTAAAAAACTTAAAATACGTGATCATCCATCAGCAATTTTCAATCACAATGTTGTTTTGAATATTTCTTTTTGGTGGAAAAATTTGAAAATCGCAACTGATAAATCTGTGACAAGAAAACATCAAAGAATATTTAATGGAAGTAGGTATTTGTATTGTGGCTGACGGTGACCCTTGGGAGGGTTGCGGCCCTGAGCTGAGACATTTTATTGACTGTTGATGAAACACTGCCTCTTAGCAAATAAAGAATCTACTTTCCGTATTTATTTCACTTGGGAAGAGATTTAAAGAAGCAATTAAAAATAAAAGTACCCATTGCATTCTATTTATGCATGTCCGTTAATAATTACACATTGTCCTGTTTTCAAATAAGTGTAAGTAACAATACAAGAAATACATCGTTTTTAACAGTTTTGACCGTTTAGCTGTGTACCGTCAATATCATCTACCTGGCACGTAGCTACCATATTATAGGACGGCGTGTCTGGTATAGAAGGTTCTATCTACTTACTTGTATATTGAGAAAACAATGATACAGAAATTTCATGCCAGAACCAAGAGTAGTAGTGCGGCTGTTTTTTTAAGGTGCAATTTATATAATTCTGACACATGTACCTTTTGTTATCCAGTTCAATTCACCTGTTTGACTAGGCTAGACTAGATGTGGTCTTTTTGTTAATAAAAAGGTTTTATTCTAAAAAAACATAACATATTTTACTCATAGTTAATGATTGATTTTTTTATAGATTACAATCTTTCATTTCGTTTGTCAAGGTCAATTGTATCGTGCCAAACGTACACGTATATTTAAATGAGAACGAAAAATAGGGTTAAATGGATGGGGTGTAAATGTTTTTGAGATAAGAAGAATCAAATGACTCTAGAATCAGAGTTTCTAACGATTTACAAGCTATGTGGTAAATATTTGTAAATGTCTGTGTGTGAAGACACATTATTTGCCCATTATTAATGATTGCCAATAAACAATGGAAATGTCATCGATTTCAACAGGGCAACAGCGGCACCTTATAAATATACAATAGGCAATGCTTTTAGCGAAGATAGATGTTGGCCGGCCACTGCTCAAGAAGTATTAAAATGTATGAATCCGGACTGAATTTAAGAAACTTTTATACAGTTAATCTTAGTCTAAAGAAATCGCAATTCGGACATCTTTAAATACCTGTTTTCTTTTTAAAACATTTAAATAATAATTCAGTTCTATGACTTTATATTAATCTTATTTTAGTCACGTGGATAAGACTCAACCAATATCTATATATACACGTTCGTGAGCAGAGTTGGCTTAGTGGCTGGTCCGTGCGACTCTCGCCTCTGAGGTCGTAGGTTTGAACCCTGTCAATTGAGCTCATAGGTACACCGCTGTGCTCCAATTGACTTTTCTCTCTATGTGCGGATTTAACATTCGCTGTGAAACGTAAACAGTACTATAGAAATATCTTTAGGATAAAAGAATCCTAATTAGATACATAGAATGATATTTTAAAACCTAATGAATGAATGTATAAAAAGTATATTTTTTTTAATGTTACGTTTTCTTATAAGTTTTTTACTTTCGTCCCAATCATAGTACAGACAAACAGACAGACATTACAGAATAAATCGCATTAAAATATTGACTCTATTCGTAGGAAGATCTTAAAGCATTTACCGATTCACGGACGACTCGTCTAAGGCTTTTGCGTCAATATTTGTCATATTCATAGTAAACCGATTGTAAGGAAATAGGAAATTCCATTTAAGCGATGAAAAGTATAGTCGCTAATGCAATCAATAGAATCCTTTTCTAAAAGTTGTTTGTAAATAAAATTTACTGTTACGATTATTTATTCGCAATTGTTTATGTATACTAAAATTCGTTTTATCGTGTATTTGAGTAAGTGCATTGAGCGTATTATTAGGCTAAACAGTGTCGTAATTATGAATACATCAGCTGCATCCATTTCAGTTGGATCTGTAATTAACTTAGTTAAGTGTGATGCTTAAAGATTGCCAACAGGGCTAAAGGCTCTAAAGGTACTATGGGATAGTATGAGGATCGCAAAATATATTCTTTACTGGGAAATAATACAGAGCTATTATTTTTATGAGCAGTCGTTCGTGATCTATTGGCGTTATGCTATAAAAGTCACGCCTTGCGATAATTTGACCAATCAGATACCTCGCAGTTATCTTCCAAGATTTCGCTTAACTTTTATAATCTACCTACAGTTCGGGATATTGTTTCGTTTAAGATTTCGATTTTCTGAATATAAGTGTTCACTCTTTAAAATTGCTGTCCCGTTGTTACTGTTTTTATGAATAAACTTTATCTGACATTTCACAGACAAGTAAGATATTATATAACGTTAAAGCAATAATTTATTTTTATACATACAGGGTGTTATAACCCTCGAGCCGAGCAATAACGATTCACAAGGCGGCAGAGTGAACTCGATTCACAATTTATACGTTATCAATTCAAATAAATCGTGGCATCGGGTGACAGCTAAATCAATTAGAGCTTGCGATATCATTTGATTACCGCCGACAGATGGCACTGATTCGATCAAACATGGCGACTTCCTCACAAGTTTGCGCGCGAAATTGGCGCCCGCGAGACACGATTAATTTGATTTTAAAGTGTTTGGAGATTTATTGAGAGTTGATGAATTGTTTGATTCTTAATTAATTTGGTTACGCTATGGCAATGGTTTAATATAATTTCAACTATATTTACATATAAAATATACATATTTAGTATCGCTTGTCTTGCTTAATGTGTATTTAGCATCTGATATTTATTTCTTTCATAATAATCTATATAGGCGTAGGCTACGCAATCTGCATGATCGACATCTATATGGGTATGTACTACAACACGATCATCGGTTGGGCCGTATATTACCTGATTGCCTCTCTTGCCTCCATCAATTCCGAGCTACCCTGGACTAGCTGCGACAACGAGTGGAACACCCCTCTTTGCACACCCGTCACTTCCCCACTGGCGAACATCAGCTCTAGCACCCCTGCAAAGGAGTTCTTTGAGTGAGACATATCTTATATAGAATTTTATTTTCATCATCATTGACATGCTTACTTATTACTTAATTTAAAGATAGAAACGTAAATAAATAACATTGCTGAATTAGATAATTATTATTTAAATTCATATATCCATTCAGTATTAAACAATTTTTGATAAACGTAACGTTTAACAGACGCAACGTATTGGAGCAACACCGGTCAAATGGTCTGGATGATATGGGTCCTATCAAACCGTCTCTAGCTCTGTGTGTTTTTGGAGTTTTCGTGTTGGTCTACTTCTCACTATGGAAAGGAGTGCGCAGTGCTGGAAAGGTAATCTTGAATCGTTGCCACTTCTTAACATAAATAGAGTTATTAATCAATGAGACAAATTAATTTCACAGGTGGTGTGGGTCACAGCTCTTGCACCATACGTTGTTTTGCTAATTCTGCTCGCAAGAGGTGTTACTCTTCCTGGAGCAACAGAAGGCATTCGCTATTATCTTACTCCTGAGTGGCACAAACTACAAAATTCTAAGGTTGTAACTATTCTACGATAAACGTAAGTATTTGTATAATTTGTATTAATTAAAGTCATTTATTTTCAATAGGTGTGGATAGACGCGGCATCTCAAATCTTCTTCTCTCTGGGTCCTGGATTCGGCACGCTTCTGGCTCTCTCAAGTTACAACAAATTCAATAATAACTGTTATAGGGATGCGATCATCACTTCATCTATCAACTGTCTTACAAGCTTTTTGGCTGGATTCGTCATCTTCTCAGTCTTGGGGTATGTATTCATTTGTAATTTTGGTGATTGTTGTGTAGGTTCTTATTTTAAAAAGTCTTTGTTTTATCTAAATATCGAATCAACTCAAACTTTTTTCAGTATTATAAATCCTGCTATTGTTTCTCAGATATATGGCACATGTTCAGAACAAAAGCATTGAAGAAGTAGGTCTTGAGGGTCCGGGGCTGGTTTTCATCGTCTACCCGGAGGCCATCGCGACCATGACAGGCTCCGTCTTCTGGGCTATAATTTTCTTCCTGATGCTTATCACACTAGGACTGGATAGTACTTTTGGAGGTAGCGAGGTTACTGAATAAAATTTGAAAAGTCTAAATATAAGCTACATTAAAATATAATTTTCAGGTCTAGAGGCAGTAACAACTGCGTTATGCGACGAATACCCACGGGCATTGGGAAGACATCGCGAACTATTTGTGGCCGGTCTACTGGTCTTCATATATATCTGTGCACTGCCCACTACGACATACGTATGTGTAGCTTTTTAAATATTTACTGTGAATGATACAAATCAAACCGAGTATGTTACATACATAAATTGCAAAGGATGGTAAGCATGCATGCAATGCGCAACTTAGAGTTTGTCCTAAAGATTTATATATTATCATGGAAAACTTTTTCTTATCATTGACTCAACCAATGTACCGTAGCCAAATTAATAGCGGTTGGCGTGAATTTATTTCTGAGCGGCTTTATGCTGAGTCAGCATGACGTGTATCATCAAGAATTCTTCTTATTAACAGTAACTTTTCACCTTTAAACCGTTTTATATGAAGAATATTAATAACCATAAAATTTTTATTTATCCATAAAATTCGAAAATAGGAATTGCAATATTATAATTACGTATAGGTATATCTTAAGACGTGGAGCAGATATTTCAGTGACGTCAATTATGCATTTTTATTACAATTACGGCTTGAAACAAAACACGACATGAGGGCAAGACAAGTGAACGAGGAGCTAACGCGTGAATAAACATGGAGGCGTTATCGCGAGTGAATGTATTCGGTTACATTATTCATCGTGCGCCACTCAGCTAGATGACCAACCTTATCACTCGCCTACATTTACTCCACTATTTCAAGATGTTCCCTGTTCAATTGTTTCCGTTTTACTGATTTCATTCGAACGGATTTATGTGACAATTTGAAGAAAAAAACGCTTTTAGGTTTAAGTATCTCTCACAAGTGTGCATTGTTGGCCTAGTGGCTTCAGCGTGCGACTCTCATCCCTGAGGTCGTAGGTTCGATCCTCGGCTGTGCACCAATGGACTTTATTTCTATGTGCTCATTTAACATTCGCTCGAACGGTGAAGGAAAACATCGTGAGGAAACCGGCTTGCCTTAGACGGTAAGTTGACGGTGTCCGTCTCGTCGATCACCTACTTGCCTTTAGATTAACAAATGATCATGAAACAGTTACAGAAATCTGCTCAACCTTAAAAGGTTGTAGCGCCACTGATTTTTTTTTATCTCTCACAAGTCTCAGTAATCACCTTAAATATATTTATGGATACAGGGCGGCGTATACCTGGTGGACTTGCTGAATGTATACGGTCCAGGGCTGGCCATACTCTTCGTGGTATTCGCAGAGGCAGCCGGCGTATGTTGGGTGTATGGCGTGGACCGGTTTGCTGACGACGTCAAATCTATGCTTGGACACAAGCCTGGCTGGTTCTGGCGCGCTTGCTGGGTTTACATAAGGTATCCTAATCTTATTAGAATGAGTATAAAGCATATTGCTTATTCAAATTTTTTATTGCAGATTTTTTTTTCAAATTTCTTTAAAACATTCCTATATATAAAAGACTACTTACGCTAATTCAAGTTCAATAACAAATTGATCAAAGCTGCAAACTTTTTTTCAACTCCTACACTCTACAGCCCGGTGTTCCTGCTGGTGCTGTTCGTGTTCTCGCTATTGTCTCACGCGGAGATGCTGGGAGGGGAGTATGTGTACCCACCCTGGTCCATCTCCGTGGGCTGGGCTCTCACCGGTACAACCGTCTCACTGATACCACTTTACATCGTTTACCTGTTCATAATCACACCCGGCTCTTTCTGTACGGTAAATATACCAGATTAACTAAACGCACTACTCATAATTATTCCAAAGCTTTCTTTATATAAATATAATACTGTGTTTTAGCGTCTCAAAACCATCAAACGTCCGCTAATAACGACCATACCGCCGACGGAGCACGCACTGTGCTCGCTGTGACCGCAGACGCACACAGTCCCAAGCGACCCCCCACTGACCTCACCATCAGAAAACCAACATCTTTACTCTTTACATCCACACACAAAAGCCTGCACCATCGAGTGGCTTGTGTAAATCATACCATTCAAAGTCTCGTTGAAATTTGTCTATGTATAAAATAATCAAAATTAATAGAAAACCTATATCAAATAACATATATTGAATAATTTCAGTAAAACATATAACTTTGTATAACCGTATGTGTGTTCCTACTTTAGCAACTGTACTCTACTGTATAATTAATAATAATTTGATATTGTATGTGTAAAATAAATCGAGCGGGTTACAAATAAGCTTTAAGCAAAAATATTAATATATGATTGTTAGGCTCGTATGCTATTTACGACAACGAAAGATTATATATTCTTAGTTGATAATAGTTGTAATCAAAATATACCTTTCTCACGCATTGTTTAATCTATAGATTAAATTATTTGTACATAGTTAGTCAATAACGCTGTACATTTGAAATTATTGCTGGACAGACTATAATAGAAGATTATTGAAGCTTGTTTATGTTACTGGATTAATAATTTAAAATTATTAATAATATTTATCATTTTATTGTATAAGCATTCTATATAAGTTCATTCTAGGAAAATAATAGATAAGAAGCGTATGTTAGATTTAGATGATTCTTTCTTGATTTGTAGAATAAACAACATATTTAGATTCAATCAAATGTTACCTAATTATTTTTGTATTCTTGGGCAATGAATATAAAAATAAAAAGATAAACATATGTATAGGAATAAAAAGCTCTTTCTGTAGAGGTAGTATTGATCTGAATAATACTTTAGAAAATATAGATGCGGTTCAGAAACTTCTTTGAAGGCAGTTTAGTGTAAATAAAGTATATTCGCTTATAATAAATTATATTATTCGTAATATACATTATTTGAGTAGTGTAACACAATATTTGTAGAGTGTTTAAATGAAATTATATCTAATTATTTGAATTCATTGCTAATCGTATATTTCAATATTATATTTAAATCGTAGAGAACTTTGATGATGTCTAAGTGTTTTTATAATATAATATAAAATCGTTTATATACCCACATTGTTAGTATGTATTGTATTGTGTTATAGAATTTCATGTTGAATTAGGGTTAAATGTAGATGAGTACTTGATATATGCTTATATAACCATTATAATACAAAGTTTATGTTATCACGATATGTGCAAACTGGTTTAATGTAAAAAAAGTACCGTATCGTAAGCCTATTGCTACACGTAGCATTATATACTACGCACTGTACACCGTGCGTAGCAGCCATTACTTTAAGAGTGGAAATACATTCGATTTTCAAAACAAAAACACAAATAAAGCATTACAAGGTGCCATACAACCTTTTTTATCGACTTTAAGTTTTATTCTCTATTATAGCGTTAATTGATACCACGGCAAATACAAGTGTATTGAAACGATTAAGTTACATAGCAAAGATCACAAAACGGTTTAAAGGTACACATATATGTATACAAATATTATTTACTCTCTGTAATGAATATCAGAATTTAGAGAGAAGAATATTAAATCAGTTTGCACTGGACGTATTGAATTACTACTCTGCTGTTAGAATGTGTGCGTGATAGCCAATAATAGTCCAATAAAAACAAATGCACAGAAGTGGCCTGTGTCAGCCATTACAGGTCTTCTGAACACTTGTTAATTATTTTTTGTTTTATTTATTGACTCCCTATTTTTTTCAGTACAGTTTAATAATTGAAGAATAGGTTCTATACGTCTCTGTTTTTTCTAAGGAATAGGTAATCTTCTCGTAGCAATTACGAATAGTATTTAAATAAAAAACATGGGTGTAAGCCTGTTACAATATCTACACCATTTTTATTTATTTATTATGTCTCATATAACGTGTGTTATTATTGTTTTATGAAAATATTGAGACTGTTATGTTATGCAGATAAATATTTTGTATCAATTAACAACTACAAAATAAGTTTTTACTAACGACAGATAGCGTCACGACCAACTAGACGTATTAGTAATCAATGTCTAAAATTGACAATAAATTTTCATAAAACCAAAAATATGGAAAAATTCTCGTGATGTAAGTAATGTATTCATAATAGAGAAGATGCTAAGAACTACGGAGCCAGGCTCTAGGTTCCTCGCGTATGGCGGGAAAAACTGTAAGCTTCAATACACACTGCGTAAGTCCTATTTTTTTTACATTACCACTTGCCCGTATTTAAAAGTATCTGTTTGTGTATCTTCTTCAAGTCCCAGGACTCCAAAAAAATCGCATAATTTTCCGCACCTTTATAATGAATGGAATCGTCATTTCTTGTTAAATATAAAAAATTACTTTACTTTACTACATCATATTACGTCACTAAGTTACTAAATAAAGCTGATTTATAATGGAATATGGATTTACCGTAATATTCTTAATCTAAATTATTTGAATCATGAAAATTCCTACTACATTTCTTTGCGTAAAATGTTTCCTGTAAACTTAATTAAGTTTTTACTAAATATGCCAGCTTGTATAGGTACCGGGTTTCCTAACTAGAAATCAATCCATACTTATGCAAAATTGAAGAAGGTGTGTGATGATACAGAATCTGTCGGAGTCTCAGCTGGAGAGCGTGGCGCGATGGCTGAGCTGCAACGGCGAAGCGTGGGGTATGGGGCCCACTGCCGTGTTCGCCAGCGCTGCCGCTCTCTTTCTTTTCAATGAATTGCAGGCCACCATATTTGTTGCCGGTGACCATGCGCACGTCTCAATGCTCGAAAGAACCCTCGTCGTACGTCACCCTTATTACTAATTTCATTTCAATGTTGCTCGATTTCTGAATTACTTAATATCTTATTTAACACTCTTAATAATACGGCATAAGCACTCACTAGGATCCCAAAAAAAAAAATTAAAAATATTTCAGTTCTCGATGGTCCTGGGAATGCTGGCTCTGATGGTGCATCTGTGGGTCTGTTCGATGCGCTTTTTTCAGTACTACCTTGACACCCTTATTAGAGACGTTAGTATACTTATTTGAACTAGATTGAAGCCGATGTAACTTTTTGAAAATATTAATGTACGATATTTTTAGTTAAGAGCCAAATCTCAACTAACATTGATTCAGCACTGACTCATAAATTCCCATAAAGATACACTCACAGAATAGAATGTGTATAATAAAATATCTATAAACCGTCTTATTATGTATATAATATAATATCTATTACTCAATGTTTATATAGGTACAAGAATGTGTATGAATTAGTTGTTACAATTTTAGAGCACTGAGCCATCATCAAATAAATATAGGTGCAACAAAAGGTTAATTACAATTACATTTCCAAGTTCTGTTATAAAAATAATTGTTGTTCATAACAATTGCCATAAAAGGTTGGCAGATAATACAGAATGAGGTCCTCGTCAGAGCCCAAACATCCTATTGGAGATGACGACGGCGGGGTTTCTGGGAAAGTCGGATCTGGTACCACTGGGTCCCTTGACGCGGTTTCTAAAGCAGCAACAGCCGCAAATCCACATCACAATCTGCTGGTTCCTGTCACTGTGCTACGCTGACTACGTCCGCAAACACTATTGCACGCGCTTCAACATGCCGTACTTGGAGCAGTGGTTGGTAAATGACAAGTAACAACACTTCTCAATCAGAACTTCTCTTCCTAATCAACTAACAATTGCTCGTATACTGTTCAACCAATTGATAACTTCTTTTTAAGTTTACGTTGGCCGACATTGCCCCTTTAGAAGAGAGATCTCCTATATGATGGAATAAGTGTATGATGTAAGGATCTAATCATTTCGATATCACATCTACGTGATATCAGGCTTAGGGCTAGGTTAGTCAGGTTTATTTAAAACTTAAGCTACGAATGTAGCAATCTACTTTTTTATTTTTATTTAAGCGACCATTGAATATATACAATATACATTTACTATGGCGTAGTTATGACCTGATTGCCATAACTTGCAATTTTGTATTAGAGGAGAATAGTAATGATAATATAAATAGGCCGAATAAGTTTTATACATGAGACACTAGTGAAAGTTTAAAAATAAACTTGATAGGTGTAATCATAGACGTACTTATTAAAGGAACTTTCAGGCAAGCCGAATTGCACGCCCGCGCCTCCCGCGGCGTGCATCAAACCATACAGAAAGTGAACAGTTTCGTAGGAGCTGTACACACACGACTGCGCGGCTACACGCAGACGCCAGCTGACGCAGACACACATACGTAACTAGTAACAATGTATAGGAAACCTCCTAACTTTTTGGAATGACACCTAATGACATGAGTCTCAACTTTTTACTGCGCCTACTGTAATAAGGCTCTACCTATTCGTTATTCTCATTATATTAACTTTATCTACGTGAGAAAGATCTTTTAGAGAAATAAAACAAAACTCTTCTAATTATGTTTCCAACACTAAATTGGGGGCGTAAATGATAGTTGTAACGTTGTGACCTAGAGAAGTGGGCTGGGCAGCACCGCGTCGGTGGAGGGCAGCGGAGCAGGAAGCCGCGTGTCGTTTGCGTATAGTGCCCGCGCCGCCAGCGATCCGTCCTTGCGCCAGGCGCTACGCAGGGAACTTAGTGCCCGCCTGGTCAGCTCGGCAAGCGAGACCACGGCGCAGATACTTGACCAACTCAGAGCATATGTTACGGTACTGATCGCGCTCTATACAATAAAAAGTATATTTTGGCACTAATAATTGTCGACAAGTTGCTACCAAATAGCACTTGGAGTGAAATAATTTCATTTGATCTGTATGATTATAAAATAGCGGCTGCAACTAACACGAAAGGCGAGAGAGTAAAAATCTAATAAAACTTCAGAATATATTCGTTTATTAAATAATTTCATATTTTCATTTAGAAAACCAGATGTCCGTGTAGCGATCCATCGCAGTCCTGCAACACTGGTGCTAGCGCTGGAACCGAGGCGACGGGCTCGTTCGCTGGAACCACCCTGGAGAAACGAGCTTTATGATTCCTTCTTTAAATAAATTATAGTAGTAACTTTTATTTTTGTACTAAACCTCTTGCAATTAAATAAATCAGTGGTGCTACCTTTTTCGGTCTGGGCCTCAGATTTCTGTATATTTTTCATGATCATTTGTCAATCCAATAGGCAAGTAGGTAGGATCAGCTTACTGTGCCTGACACGCCGTCGACTTTTTGGGTCTAAGGCAAGCCGGTTTCCTTACGATGTTTTTCTTCACCGTTCGAGCGAGTGTTAAATGCGCACATAGAAAGTCCATTGGTGCACAGCCGGGAATAAAACCTACCACCTCAGGGATGAGAATCGCACGCTGGAAGCCACATTTGGCCTTGTGCCACTGCTCTTGCAATAAATAGTAGATACATATAATCAAATACATTGATTGAGACCGAACGATAAAGAAAATAGTCTCAAGTTTTGTTCTACAGTTAATTATGACTTAAGAACTGGTTCGTCTGGACGAATCACAGCAAATAATCTCGGGATTACATCCTAATTAGTCTATAGTGCAACCAATTAATCTATGCAGCCGAGTCCTAATTTTCCCTTATTATTATAATCACGTGACGGACATGACGCAGTCACAACATATATTTTAATATCAAAACAAAATCTGAAATATTTCAATATGCAATATAATTCCCAGTAACCTAGTTTCCATTCAGAATGATCCATTCCTTAAATTACATAAATCTCCAGTGTGTTCAGGTAAATAACTAGATAGGTATATTTTATATTGTCTTTGGAAGTTTTGGTAACAAAGTCTCCTATAAAGGTATTTTTTACAATTATTACGTAATAGTTGTTGGAATGGGCGCGATGCGGAGACAACGTGCTGTCGGTAGTACCTACAATACTATGGGCAGTGGGATCTGCTGCATTTGCACATCGCATCGTCTCTTCGCTCTTCAAACGATTCATGTTTCGCCGGATCCCACTCTGGGAAATCATTCTACAGGTTTGTATTACAAATTTTAGGCCGCAGCCTTGATGATTTTCTTCTAATTATACCATTACATTACAGCACCTCATCTTCATTTGGATGGTTATATACAGTCTTCATTTTTGGACATTAGTGGTCAAAATTATTAAAATTGTGGTGGAATATTACTACAGTGACGTAAGTAGTTAATTATTGAAAATATGGATGTAATTTTGAGACAAATGATAGCCATTTCTGCTCTTTCACAGGAACAAGTAGAGACTGTAACTCGTGAAGAGCTGGAAGGACGCAAGGTGATGCAACAATGGATTATCTGGCTGTGCGGGGCGACTCCACTAGCGCTATTCTACCACACGAGGCCTAGACCTTCGTCGCCACCACTGATGATATGGTTAACTATTTATGCTGATAGTAATTACTCAATAACTTGTATAAATAAATAAACCTCTTTCGCGAGTACTATATCAGGTGTCTAAAAGTACTTATTCCTACCATGAGATAACATCATCTTTAGCTTTTTAATAGTACAGTACAATGACCGTTATATTTATTTAATTAAATCTGTAGGATAACCACAAGTCCCTGGCAGCGGCGCGAGATGGGTCCTTATGGGTATTATTTACATCGGCCACCCTCCTTGGAGACTCCTGCAAATACGGTTCGGGAACAGGCTATCGCGCTCCGAAAAGCCTACAGCGACTCTAGAACAATCATCAAAGAACCTCCCAGAAAGAGAAGAAACTCTAAATCTGTGTAGGATTGTAAAATAAAGAATGTCTGAATTTGTGAAGTTTCATTGCATAATTTTTGGAAACGAAAAATTTAGCCCTAGACAACTGGTACAAATTCAATGTCAATTTTGTATATGTTTCTGAACGATAATATCGACTAAATATAAGAGCACGACGCAACCTTTTGTAGTGGATTTTTAATACAGTTTATACGGCCAAGTTAATTAAGATATGTCATAAATTGATAGTATCTATGCATTTTCAAGTTTTTAAGTATGGCAATTGTTATTTTATTTTAGAAATTGTTCAATAGATGTCAGGAACCTTTCAATCAAAGCCACAAAAACGCGCTATCATTGTGAATCCAGTAATCTATATAAGACCTGAGTACATAACTTAAGGCATACTAACCTTGCGTAGGGTGTACCGTGATCACGAAGGCGGTTGCCCCGGGCCGGCGCCAACCATTGCACTGCGGTTGGAACAAGCCTGTCTGTGACTATCCTAAGTAGGGTACGTCGTACGCGTAATTTTTGGTAGTTGGGGACTAGCGTACTGCGCAGTTCCTATTAAATTAACTCTGACGACTGATAATAATAGTAATTGAATCCTTTTTATCTATGCATGTGTCGTTCGCCCGATCTGAATCAATACTGATCCATTGACAAAAAGATCTGGTTCGTTCGACCCGTTCAATCGAACGAACTAAAGGATATTTCGAACTGCAAGGTTCCGGTTGAAAAACAACTTCGGTTCAGACTTCAGAACGAACAAAACAAATATAAATTATCGAAATAATTTAATTAATAAATCAATAGCTCTAAACGTATATTGTTATTACTTTAAAAAAGATAAACTTTCGTAATTAATCACATAAAATAGCTTATTAAACTGAAGTAGAAGCAAACTAAAAGAATAAAATAGATTCTAGCTCCAATCTACCTACAATTAAGAATCATATTCGATTGGCTCTGTCGTAAATTTGAAATACCGCATCGTCGCGTCGGCTTGCGCTTGGTTGGTTCGTTCGATACTTCGTTAATCTTTTCTCTCATAGCTCACATTCCCTCGGATCGCTACGGCTCGCCGCGACCTTATGGCTATTGAGCGAACGAATCATTTTCAACGAAGTGTCCCATTCGTTAGCGAGGATTTGAAGATCTGGTTCTTTTGAACCGTTCAATCGCGAACGACACATACATATTTTGATCACATTCACAAGTTATATCAGTCACGTAAAATCTATCAAAACCCATGATGCAACAGTGTTATTGAACATATGCGGACGCTTCTGCCCTATTAATAAAAATTGCAAGAGGTTTTCTATTATACATATCTTTTTAAAATAAAAGCAGGAATAAAATAAAATCTTTATATTGAAATATAACAGGGATTTTAATGTAGTACTAACCAACAGAAACGCGCGAGCCGGCACCGGAGCACTGTGTGGAAAGAAAACACAACATCAGGCATACTTTATTCGAACACAACATTTGCGTGTATCAAAATACAGGTATTTTCAAAACTGAAACAGATTAGTCGTTTCTAAAAACAGGATAAATTAATTACTTCAAACCTTAATTTAATAACATTTATGTATGTTCATGTGTAAAAATGACATCGTCACAGAATAAATAAACAGGGTTGGAAAAGCTCAAATTTTGTATTAGAATATTAATTGATGCATGATTGATTTCCATTGTTATCAATTCTGTGACGGAAGATTAGTTAATAATTTCAGCCAATATATAATATTATAATATTCAATTGCCTATCAAAAACATTAGTCCATTTATACTTTTATCCATTTCTCCATATAAAAATATTAAATCGTGATTTATTCGTAATATACTAACAAAGAGCTATGTGTCTGTCGATTTCTTGAGTGTCTTTAGTTCGAAGCTCTGCAGCGGGTTGTTGCGTCGCGCCTGAAATATTACATGTTATGTTAATATTATTAATTGCGTAGCCAGTTGATATTAATAAAATTAATGTATATATTTTTTCAATAATCTTAACTGTCAGATGTACATAATAACAATAATAAAAGATAAATAAAAAAAACTAATATAAATTTAAAACCTTTTGTCCCTGTGGCAATTTTAGAATTTATATTGGGACCATTAATATTTAAACAGTGGTAGACTGTGTAGGTAACGTCTTAATGAGGTTTAATAACAATTTAATTAATTCTTCTCTAAAAATATTATTAAGTATATAGTTAATCAGGGTCCTTAATTTATTATGAATATCTAATCTTTCCAATCTCAATTCTTATCTATCTCTTTCCAAATAAAAATAATTAAACACCCTGAAGTTAGCTATAGTTTTTTGTAGGGCGCGCACAAATTTAGTCAAATTTTAGTTTTTCCACTGTTAGGTCTGTTCACAATTGGGAAAAAAAAAAAAAAAAAAAAAAAAAAAAAAAAAAAAAAAGAAAAAAAAAAGGGCGAAATAAAAAACCCCCGGCCCAAAAAAAAAAAAGGGGGGTTTGGGGGGGAAAGGGGCCCCCCGAAGGGGGGGAAAACCCAAAAAAGGGTTTTTCCCCAAAAAAAAGAAAAAAAGGGAAATTTGGGACATAGGGGGAACTTTTCCGGACATGGGGAAACAGACCCTTAATGTCGTTTTTCTACAAACGTAGAATAAAATTGTTGAAAAGATTTATATCTTGTTACCAAAAAGTAAAACGCAACAATACCGTTTTATATAAACTTCATTAATTACTTAATGACTTGGCATAAGTTTGAGATTTTGACCACACATCTTTATGCTTGCCACCGAACAAACTGTTTCATACCAATGTTTTATATTCAATAGTTCAAAAATTTTTCAATAAACAAACAATTCATGACTTGAAATTTCCACTTTTACGAATGTAAATTTTATTACTTCACCTGGTACTTATGCCGTTTAGCGCTGCCATAACTGTGTTGGGTCTTTCTTTTAGCTGCTTGTGGGGGCGCCGGGCAGTCTGCGCTGGCTTCGGGTTCAGACGGTCGAAGTGCTCCGGGAACTAAATATTCTGGGACATGGGCCAATTGTTCTTGAACTCTGACCGTGTGTAGGGCCTTGTCTCGTTTAATCGCCGCCAGCTCAGCCGGGTTTTCCTCGAAGAATCCCTGTAAATGGCATAATATAACCTACCTGCTCATACAAAGTCGACTGAATGTTAGAATTTGTCTGAACTCAGGGAGAAGATTAGTCATTCATCAAAGAGATATGTGCTTTTTTGTCATCATTGGATTAATTTTATTGATTTCAGTGAGTCAAATATTTCTAATCAAACGACTTTAAAATATTAGCTTCAATGTGTTTAATCCAGATTCGTAGTAATTTTATAGTACACATTATATTTTCGTACATTGTCATTTTACATCGTCAATTACAATTACATTGTATAATATGTTTATTGTTTACTATGTACAAGTTTACTAGAATAGAACATACGCACAATGTTAATACTCGGAACAAACGCAGGCTGCAATTTCCCCATACTAGACTATCTAAAGTTAGTAATTCATTTTTTGGGAAAAGGGATACTCTTTTTTAATAAAATCCCAGAGGCTCTTTTATCTCTGCCTTTTAACAAATTTAAGAAATGTATTAAAGAAAAGCTGTGTAAAAAGCCTTACTATAAAGTTAACGATTATCTAGTTGATAAAAGGGCCTGGGACTAGTGCTAGACAGGCTACTTCTAATTAATTTGCGATATTTGTTTTAAAATAAGTGTTTTTTGATGATTTGCTATTTTAAAAGAGTACCGAGAGTTTTTTACGCCGGATTTTTCTCTCGGCCTACACCCTCTGTCTTCTTTGCCGAAGAGTAGGGATGCCTACGAATTCAAATTTAATGACGTGGAATAAGTGATACCTGTATCTTATGTTCCATAATAAACAATTTTATTTTATTTTAATTCTTCAATACAAAGTACAAACTATTTAGGTGTGTTGCGATATCGCTTTTATTATTCGAGAAACGCAGAGACGCATCGTGAATATCATTAATTACAATAATTTTGAGCAGTGGATTAGTTCATAATTACGTAATTTTACATTAATAAGTACAATTTGATAACGAACGCGATTCCCGTAAAATGTAACAACTCACCTTTAACTTGTTGCAGTTCAGCAGTTCCCGCTTTATCTCTTGTAGTCGTGCTTCCCTCACGGCGATGCGAGTGACGGCTCGCCATGCATCCCTCGACCGGTAACGAAATCCCTCCACTTCTTCTAACGCAAATGAGTACTTTCTGCAACATCGTGTATTTCCTTTTAAAATTTTACCTTTGAAATCATAGATTTTGTAGGCCATACAAAAACACCAAAAATCACAGCTAAAAATGATTACAAAAGATAATAGCTAAACAAAAATCCAAATTTATAATATTTGCTTGTGTTTGTATTGAAAGTCCTCCTAAACGGCTGGAACAACTGATGTAATTTTTTGTGCGTGTTAAAGTGAATTCGAGAATGTTTTAGATTTAAAATTAAATTATTATTTTTCATCAAAACTGTCCAGATTGTTACAACTTATTTTTAAAAAAAAATTGTATTTAAAACGTGTACAGGACAACGCTGTCGGGTCTGCTAGCATCTATACATATATTCTGCTAGACCAAGTCATCTAAACATGGGCATTTCATCTAATAATAAAAATGTCCTGATGTAACGCAAGTTGTGACTAGACTATAAAAATTGTTGTTTCGAACAGTGGTAGCAATTAATGCAAAATAGCATGACAAAAATTTTAGGCTTATATCTCAAGAACAAATATAAGAATAAAGAATATAGCAAATAAAGTAAACTTACTGCAACACTTCCTGATTGTTGAACCCTTTGGACAAGTGAGCCTCCACCTCTTCTAGTAAAGGTTTCTCTCTTATTGATACAAATGATAGCACTGATCCCTAAACAAAAATTATATTAATAAAAAAATTGAATAAATTATTTATAATAAAATGATAAAATCCACACAACGCATTTGTTAGTACATGAGGCTTTCTTAATTTTGTAATTTAATGATTGTTGTCTCTTGTCTCACAGTGTAAGTACAACTAGACAGAAAGAGATGAAGGCTCTACCTCTCTAACATAAGGCAACACTAGATCTTATTGAGGCCCTAGTGGTAAGAGGTGGGATTCTCAACCTGGGCTAGTTAGTTCAAAGCCTATAGTAAAATAATGGATATAAATGGTAAATAATATACCTGATTGTGTCCGCGTGCCGTCCGTCCTGCTCGGTGTACATACGATGTGACATCCAGCGGGAAATCAAAATTGATGACGTTGGCTACGTGTTGGAAATCAATACCGCGAGATACTCCGGACTCCTTGTCTTTTTTACGTTTAGATTTTTGCTGGAATAATAAAAATCTTTAATGAATACTAAAACCAGACAGCTGAAAACAGGTTCTTGTTTCATGGCCATTCATAAATTATTCATATCATAATAGTTATTCTTTTGTCCAATGTATTTAATTTGATTGAATAACAGATATCATGTTTGTATAAAGTTAGTTTTTTAAAATATAGAATGTTGAATAATGTATTAAGGGAGCGTTCAATTATTACGTCACGCAAGTTTTGAGGTTATTGACCCCATGCTGGGGTAAAGGCGGCGTTTTTCTGTACCCAATAGTAAAACGTTTCGTGACCACCCAGTGATCTTTATATACCTAAAAGTTACCATTATGTGCTATACAGAACCGGAAAATCGAAAATAATATTAACAATAAGGCGTAATTCAATCCCCGCATCGTTACGTTTTAAAAAAGGACCCCCCTCTCCCAAAATACGTTACGTAATACTTGAACGCTTCCTTAAATTAGAAAAAATTTCTTCTCATTGAACAACAGCCCTTATTTCAGACCGGCTGAATGAAACTGAAACAGATACTTAAAGAGGCAAAATAAAAAGTGTGTCAAACAAAAACCCAAGATGCGCAGTCTCGAATAAAAGTCCGAAAAACACGAAAGTCCCAAATTTCTGTCTCTTTCTATAAAAGTTGGACAAGCATATATTATTGCAAAATCAACCTTACACGAATTTTTAAAGTTGTTATTAAAACGCAGTGTACTTAAAGCAATAAAATTTTACGACGGGGAGGGTGGTCGGTAGAGCCGTAAGGTGGGGGGGGAAGGGTTTTGAGTGGAGTGGAAAAGGGTCGAACAGCTTTTTATTTAACTATTTAACAAATTTTAAATTTTCGTTTTCGCTTTTACAGCGTGGTGGCCACGGTGACAGACAATTTATTTATTTGTTAATTATAACATAATCAGTAAAAGTTTCTTTAAATTAAAAAAATATTGGACTCTTGACCAATGTATTTAATTTGCATTGAAATACATAAATTTATTTATAAAAAAAAACACAAATAAATAACATCGACTCCATTGTATAACAGGTCATTCTTATAATGCGACAAAATAAAAAGAATGTTGCTAAATGAACGAGCAGCCATTGAAGCTGGCCCGTATAGAATTTCTTCGTTGAATTGAAGTTTTTAGAAAAAATAAATAAAAATCACACATTGCTTGTTATAATCAGTCATAAAAACAACAAAAACTAATCAATAAAGTTTTTAATTACCGAAAAAGTCTCTTTTTGCCTTCTTGACGTTAATTTTACAATTTCTACAGAACACTTTGGCATTTTTAACAACTGCTCCAAGACGCGAGCGACAGATACTTGAAAGAGCGCACAATTTTTAAAAGTGCGAACGTTTTTTTAGACGTTGAGTGTGCATCTTGGGTTTTTTGTATATCAATGGTGTCAAGGGATAAAATCAATTGTATTAACCTTATTCTTCTTGCCAATTTCTTCTCCTTTAAGTAATCCTCCATCGGGTTTTTCTAAAGCTTTTTCATCTGAGGCCACAATAATTTGATAGCGACCTCGGTTAAACTGGTCCACAGACAGACATCGTATGGCAGCTGGCAGTTCAGAGTTCAAAACACAAGAGCCAATTTTAAACTGTTCCAAATATAATTTTAATCTGAAAGAAAAGGTAGTTATATCATTTCACAATGTGAATGCAGTTTTTAAATGTGTAATACTACTTAAAAGTTCAAACAATTTGTATGACAATACTTGGCGATTAAAAAGAGTGGCGGAAAGTTTCTTGCCAGTTCTTCTTACCCGCTCTACGCGCTTGACTTGCGAACTGGTAGTAAATGTAAATTTACAATTAATTTAACTTCTTTCTGACAATTCATAAGTGTACTTGTTTATCTACATGAATAAAGATATTTTGAGTTTTGAGTTTTTGAAAAGAGAAATGATATAATTATTAAGTCTAGAAAATGGTTACTTAATTAACACTCACTTATAACATCTGTCCACAGTTCTTACAAAGATAATGCTTTTGCCTCTTATTAAATTAAGTTTCAGCAAGGCATATAATATTGCCGCTTTATCATCTTCCTCCGCGAACAGGTGGTAGTGTTGTAGTTGGGAGGATGGTGCCAATTCAGGTTCCTCCAATTTCAATGTCACTGGGTTCCTAAGAACTATCTTTTTAAGGTTGATTACATCATCTGATAGTGTAGCTGAAGCTAACACAGCTTGGTAAATCTTTGGCAAATACCTGTAAAATTATTAAAGGGTTATTATAATACTGCGCTAATTTAAATTTGGATATGGAAAATAATTTAATAGCAAATTACCCCAAGAGCTCTTTCACCTCATCTTCGTAGCCAAATGAAAATACAAGGTCAGCCTCATCTACAATTAGCATTGCTAAATCATCTTTGAGTTTCATGTTTCCAGCTTTAAGATGTGCTAATGCTCTTGCCGGTGTAGCTACCACAATGTCTGGTTTATCTAACAGAAGAGACTTTTGGATTTGGGTGTTTGTGTTGGAAGATATATCTATACATCTGACTTCTCTTGAACATTTTAGTGTTAGCTCTGATACAACTGAAGCTATCTAAAATGATGAATACACACATAATTTTTTTTTTTAGTAAGTGGACTATTATCAAATTCCATGTTTTTGATTTAAATCTCATAAGTTGTGCTAAGTATTGACTCTGAATCTTACCCAAAGCACTTTTACTTAGAGCAATAGAATTATTAAAATGAACTAACCTGGCCACATAATTCTTTACTGGGAGACAAAATAAGACTCGTTATGCATTGATGTAAACTTGTGTTTTTTAAGTTTAGTATCTTTTGTATTACAGGAATAGTAAAAGCTGCAGTTTTTCCTGATCCTGTCCTGGCTCTCATAAGAACATCCTTTCCTTCCAATAGCAGAGGTATTGCAGTTTCCTGAATTAATGTTGGAGTTGACCACCCAAGCTGTGATATTGCCTAGAAAACACTAAACTTTGTTGCATTGTTTTACATACAGCAAGAAAATTGTATACAAGGGTAGACAAAAGACAAAACAATTTAAATTATTGAATGCAAAATTTTCACTAGTTCATATTAATTTATAACAGTATTACACAGTACAGTTATATACATGCGTTTACACAACACAAATTGAATTTTGCATTTTATAGATTCCAATTTTGAATTTAGTGCAATTTATTAAGTTAATGCCTTGTCTGATATTATAATGCCTTTATTTACCAAAATACTGATACTAGAAATGAGAGTCCACGTTGGATTTTTGTACCATGGTAAACATGTTATTCTACCATTATAAATTAAGTTTATTAAGTTTAAGTACAATTAATGATACTAGTATTCATATTAATTTCGTAAAAAAGATGTTGGTAGCTGATAACAGCTGGCACATTACTTGCAACCTTTTTGCTATAATCATATAATTCTATGTTGTCTATATGTATATTCAAATTAATTTGCTTGACATTGTCATATTCTAATAATGTTTAAATGAATGTAATAAAGTGATTCTAACAAATTGGTAACAGAGCGTAATTTTTGTTACTTTGATGAAGTCCATGTTGATACAGGGAATATGGCAATAACTGAAGTCTTGTGCTTTCTCAATGTCTCAATCCATTTGTTATATATTATATACTTTCTCAGTGTCAACCATATGCTATGTATTGGACCTGCATCTTTCGTCTTTTTAATCACATTGGTCTCTACCTCTCTGACCTTCTGCCAGAGAGATATACATTTTGACAAGGAAAATAATACTCAGAATATAGTTTCCTGCTGTTATTAAGCGAGAAGGCCTGCTTTAGCTCTCACTGTGTAGATTGCACTACCTACCTACTATTAATCAACCAAAGTTACATGTAAATTATCAAGGAGAGAAAAGATAATTTCTTGAGGTCAAGCTTGGTGTTGGCCTATTAGCATCCTTAATTGGCAGCAGTGTATCGGAGTCAATGATGCTGTTAAATTTTTTGGTTTTCCTCCTTTTGAAGTGGAAGGCTGTGACATATTCATTCAATATATGTATTTTTAATTTGATTTCCTAAATACTGCTTCTGTACAATGATCAGTTTTTACTAAATAACAACAAAAATGTTGATTTTTAAAACACCTTATATGTGCGAGACTTAGCAACAAATCTGCTCTCAGTTGGAATCTCAACAAATAAAGGCAGTGATAATGTAACAAGGTAACATTCAAAAATGACAAAGCTTACTTACAAAAAGTGTAAAAAGTTCATTAATGGTTGGATATAGGAGAGATGGACAGAGTACTACATAGGCAGAAATGAAACACTTGGGAAGAGTGAAACAACTGCTTGGTATGGACTACATAAGACAAATCAAATTATACCTAAAGACTTTCTTACAAGACAACTTAAAGAAGTTTAATGTGAAGCTAAAATATCATCTGCACCCCTTGATGTGACAGAAAATTATAAGAAAAGTTAGCTTCCCTATGAAAAATAATTAATAATTGGAACAATAGCCACAAGATCAGACAATGTTTGCCATAAGTCATTTGTCGTAAATTGGTGACTGTTACGGAGAACAGTATCTCAAAAGCGCAACAAGTACATAAAAGAAACAAAGAGTTAAGTTAACTTTCAAAAAGATTAAAGATTACTTAAATGTGATGGCAGGTGCAGACTGGAGTAACTAGACAGGAAAAATGATAATTGATAACCTAAGTGATAACCAAGCAGCATTTAAGCTAAGTCAAAATTATATGGTAGGTCAAAATCAAAACATATCGACTTAAAACTTTATAACACCCGGAATTTGATTCAAGGTGTAATAGACGTAAAGTACCTATGCACTGAAAATATGGACCATATATTCTGACAAAGCAGCTGCATAGCCGACAGCTGGAGAAACTAAGAACAAGCATGGGAATTTGCTAAGCGGCGCTACATTCGTCAAGAGGAACTCATAACACACGTTGTGGCGTTTTGCCCATATGTATATAAAAAATAAATGTGCTTGACATTGTCATATTCGAAATAAAAAGATTCTTTCGAGTCGTTTAATTCATTTTACCTAATAAAAAGGGTATGTATTTATCATAACGCTGAGCGTACCTTAAGTAAACGATCATCTAATTCCATTTCATGAAACATAACCTTGTTTTCGCCTGCCATATTTATTTTATGTTCACTACTACGCTTGTAAAAAAATTTATAGTTAGCAACATAAATTCAAATACACTAATCTGATTACTAAGCAGTAAAAGTTATAACTGTTATAATTCGGAAGTTAAATATATTTTTAAAGCATTACTATTTACTATGTTTACTACTTTTGCGTTTTAACTTTCAAGGACAGCCGTGAGTTGTGAGCCGAAAGATATTTAATATAGATTATAATTTATAGGTAATAGATTTATATAGATCACAGATTGTACATAAATAATGTAAGGATTGTCTGTAGTCATCACAAACTAGAAAGATTTGGCAATTATCTGCATTGCTATCTGTGGTGTACATTATTTAAAACTAGTGAAATACGAATATAGAAGTTCTTATTGCACGAAAGCCCTTAATTTGCTTCTCAACTCAGTTACATGTACAAAAGTTATTAGTTATCGTCTGGGAGACCCCATTTTCGGCTTACGTATAGACCTCGTACAAAGATTTCTAATATCTGGTGAACTGCTATTCCCTAACCGATAACGATATAGTATCCAAAAATTTATTTGGAAGATTTTATGATTTCTTGTAAGGTTAACCTTTAGCAATTTGAAGGACTAAAATATATAAGAGAATTATCTCTGTGGTAGGCTGCTTTTTTGTTATAGCAACCCAAAATCCAAATGACTTTTCAAGATTCAAGTTGTTTCTGGATTCGCCAGTCATAAAATTCAATGTAATTTATTATTTTTTAACCGTGAATCATTAATCATATTGAATTTGTCTTAGTTTAACTTACAATTCTGAAAATAATGTGTTATGTTAATCATAATTGTGAATTCATTGCTTTTGAATTATATACACTACAACTATGTCTGACCGCGAATGCGTTTTGAGCCGCAGTTCATTGCCTTATGTAAAACTGGAAATGGTGTTTCTTCCGTGAGTGACCGAATTATAAAGTGACCTATGTGTAATACTAATGATTTTTTGTGAAATTCAGTGAATAGTGTGCACACATAATGTCTAACTCCACGGTGCAAGTATTAATGAAGAAGGGCAAAAGAGGGGCAGCTGCATATATCCATGCGGATTGCGCTAGCGGTTTGCCTCAACATTTAGGCCCTTTGCTGGACGTGCTTCTTAATCCCAGCAAGGCGATCGATGAATGGGAAACCATTGATTGGTGCAGGTGGCTATTAGCTGGTGGCAGGACGCCAGACGAATTTTCTGCAGTTGGTAAGTTAACAAGATACTTATTAATGACTCAAAACTTAGGTATACAAATATTCTAAGTTCATAAATATACCAATTAAAACTGCCTTATGTGATTTTAATTTGTCTGTTTCTAAAATTATTTTGATATTGACTTGCTGTGAATATTTTGTTCAACCTCAATTGATACCATATTGAAATAAATAAATATATGAATGCTATGAGTGTTATATACTTGTGTGTGTAGTTTTCACCTATATATTAATTTTAGGTACTAGTAAGTGAAGGATTATATCTTATTGATTTTACTTAATGATATTTTATTGAATGCTATATTTTCTTTATAATAATTTAAAAATAATATTATGACTGAATTTTTAATTTCTCTGATTAATGGACAAAGAGTTACTTTTCTAACACAAATAATTGTCTGTATACTAAGTAACTAAATTTTTGAATAATTTAGAGATAATTATAGGTTTCATGGAAGTAAAACAAATGTTAGAGTAGGATAGCTACTTTAGTTTTTCTCAAACATAAAGTAGGACAATAAAGGTGGACATTATGATTTTGGTTTTTAAAATAACTTCTTATGCTTTTGCCCCACTGTGGTTCATGTATGTCAATTCTTTAAATTTTCATAAAAATATATTAAATGGAACTAAAGAAAGAAACTTGTTCTAATTTTAATTCTGGCAAAACCATTTAATGAACGGAAATAATCCACCCTAGATATACTAAAAACTATTGTATATTTATATTTTCTTAACTTTGGTTAGGTGAATAATGCATAGTAAAATAAAGCATTATTAATTTTTCATAATGATTTCTTGTGTCTTGCTGATCAATTCAAGAAGCATAGCAACAATGACTTACTTGACTTAGGGCCCTATGTCCCCCAGATGGGGCAGAAGGCATCCAGAATAGTAAACCAGCCTTATTGGTCCTGGGCAGCTCTCTTACAGCAACAAGAACAAAACAAAAATGTTTTTGTTTTTTAGGAATCAAACCCAGGAACTCTGATATATTAGCTGTATATACTCAGCTGCATGGGTGGTTTCTCATCTCATCCCTAATTTTATTTATTTGAGAATTATAAGTTAATAAGTAAGTGCCTTCATTGGCTACTTCTGAACTTCATGCCATCAATTTTAAAACAACCAAATATGTATCTTTAATAGGTTAGGGTAGAGTTGTTGTTAAAACAGTAAAATTTTTGTAACTACAAATAATTTTTTTTAAGCAGGACAAAGCAATTGTTGTTGTCGCTATTAACAGAGACATTTTATTTATTGCCACCATTGTATTTCATGGTTGGAAAATTTTGGTATTAAAGAATTAGTTTTCATAAATACTATATTATTAATATGGGGACAATGTAACAATGGGAGATAGATAGAAAAAAAAATAATGCTGAGTTGGGGCATAACTAGGGAATGCAGACAGAGTGTCTGTAGTATCAGCGTTGAATATATGCCACCACAGCGTTGTTAAATTTGAAAATCCCTGTAATTTTAAAGATGACTCGCAAAAGTTCAAAGGCGACGAAACTTTCCATTTGCCTAGAAAATATATCTATTATCTAATACGAAAAACAAAAAAAATATCAAATGATTATATCGTCAGATTAAAACCCTTTTAAACACCTCCTGCTGTTAATGAGATTACCATTAATAAGATACATAAGAGTCAGTCATAAAAAAAGAGATGAATCTATATGAGTATGGGGTAGCTCTTTACACTTTGCTTATAATAAGCTCACTCACGCTGGTGCCAACCAGTGTTGAGTCTGAGTGGGCATTTTCAGCAACTAACATAAGATGTTGCTTATCAAACAGCACTCTTGATACTCTTAGCTTCTTAAGAAGTTATTCCAAAATCACTTCTAATTATCTGAAATTCGAGATCTCGAATTAACGATCTTGATTCGAGATTGCATTCCCTAGGCATATCCCATTACTTTAAAGCTGATAGTCACATACAACTACAAGGCTTACACTGCTTTTAATGAAAATCTAATAAATACTTATTAGATTTTCATTTCAGAATAGTGACGGTCAAAAAGAAACATATGCTTGCCTTCTTAAAATCAGGACATATCAGATTTATAATTCATTTGCCGTTTATGCTGAGACAATGTCGCACACCAGATGTACACTGACCTTGTCGTCCTCTGTTACGTGAATCATTCACCAAAAAAATAAAAAATGCATTATTTTTGATTTGAGCATTATCAGCAGATATATAGTGAATAAACATTGATGTATCTAATGCAGATGAAGAGTGCAAATTTTAAATCAACGATGTGGTCGCATCATTTTCCTCAGGTTACTTGAGAGCTAAATCATATACATTCAGCCGTTATAATTTTCATCAAACAATATATTTTTATCAGTTGTATGCACTTGATATGACCACTTATTAGGTCCTAAGAGATCGGTGCCGTGACGTGTTGCGTGTTTTTTGCCACCTGTCTCTGGCTTAGTGCTTCGTCAATGTCATCGCCCTAGGTGCGCTTGACCCAAATGTCACAGGTTGTCTTATATTGCGGGTGTGCCTGTTTTAGGTTTATATATCATCAATATATAATATAGGTAAAAATATATAATCATAGTGTTTTATTTACCCCAGCTTTGTATTCCGCTTATGAAAATATTAGACTATTGTAATTATTTAGTATTTATTACCTTGTTTACTATAAGGTTCACATAATTCGGCATGGAATCTAGAAAGCTTGTATAGCTGTTACATTATGTCATGTAAACTTGTAATTAAAGTTTACTAAGAACAGTAGATAAATGTGCGTTTGTCGTTAAAAATTTACGCACGTTATTTATTACCGGAAAGTACCTATATAGGATCTTACTTCTTAGACATAATATTAATGTGCACATTTCCATGGTTAATCTGTTCGGTTAAAACGTGACGGTCCACTGCACACTGGCTTGAACTGAGCCGAGAAATCCATACAATACACAAAGATATAAGAAAGGCCCTTCTCAATACTATACATATGCCCTACACGATACTTAACTAAAATTTTAATAAATATAATAACCAATTTTAAGCAAAAAAGTGATTTTTATAATGCTCGATAATAACTTTCAAAGGAAACAAAACAAAATAACAAACAACAACAAAATAAGACCTTCTAAACGGAATCAAAATTATTTTAAAAAATCGTAGATTTATAGATAAATACAATTTTTAATGGACTTCTATATAGAAGATATCTGTGTCCTCAGCATTTTGGTAACCGGCTGGGATCGGTCTGAAAGCCGGGCGTACGTTGACTTGCGCAGTTTTCCATCGTGCGTTGACCCTCACCAGCTGATGGCCACGTGCCTCCCTCCCCTGTGCAATGCAACCCGTTCCAAGAATACACATCATTTTCCCCGCTTCTCTATAATTGACTGTTTCTTAATCGTAAATAATTAATTCAACGCGTACTGCTTTTGTAAATAATTTTTACTGCATCGCAAGAAAGTACGATTACTGCATTATTACGTTTTATTTCACGGGTTAACTGACTCAAGCTGAAATAATTACAGTGAGCTGTGTACGTAATGGCATAGACCTGGTGATTATTAGAATGTAGACTAAAGACAGATCAAGGCGTGTAATATTTAAAAACAAAGAAACCTTAGTTTTCAATCTTATAACTAGTATATTGTTATCTTGTTCTTTTTAATAAGTGGTATTTTGTATATACCGAATTAAACTAACTTAAACTATATTCTGGTAAATACACTAAACCCTACTCTAACTTCATTACTGCTACATAAGACCTTCTGCTATTGAAGGCTTTATGCCACATTATATTATCGTATGTATTTATACTTTTAGGATCATTGATTTCACTGCTAGCAATTATTATTACGTGAGTCATGCTAACGTTGTCTACCCTACTTGGTTTTCCCCATTGTTAATTTCTTCTTCACCAACCCGTTTGAAATAGACAAATCATTGCGCGAATACTTTTAAGAATGACATTGCTAAACACGATGTTAAGTGTGTAGTTATTTAAAATTGTTGAAATTTCTATTTTAATGCATATTCTGAATATTTAAACCAATAATAAAAACTTGTAATAGTTTAACTGTTTTCGAAAAACCTTTTCCAATAAGCTCTTAATAGTTGAAATCGAATCAGATAGATTGGCAATGTGCCCGATGTATCCTCGAAACACAATAAGGCAGATAGCGATAGTTTAAAGCCGGGGATAGAGGTGTCACTGCGCACGGGGCATTGCACGAGCGATGTTTGCGACGACTGCGCACGCTACCTATAATTAATTGCGCTCAACTTACTCATTAATAACTCCTCCGTTTACTGTTGCATAATAGAATATAAGTTTGAACATCGTGAAATTCGATATTCGAATTTGAAGATTCGAATATTGGTTTTTGAAGCTAATTCGAAAATTCTTATTTGATCTATGCACCTATAGATTATTTATTAATACATATATAATTTATGCCAAGTAAAGGTACAACCCTAAATCATACCTTGGTATGCGCTGCATTAAAATAATCGTCTTTTTAGTTATTTTATACGAACAAAGTATAATGCTGTGAAAACCAGAGAAACAAATGTAATTTTAACTAGGTAATAATAATAAACTAGTGTTACAGATTTTAATATCTTCACGATTTTTTTTTCATTTGCCAATACATTGCTGACTAAATAATAAAATTTTCGTAATTTATAAACATAGTCACTTACTCGTGATTTTACCTTATAATAAATCGCAACCGAGTCTTTGAAGGATGTCATAAACAACTATAACTGTTATCAATAAAACAGCGTATTTTAATTTATGTATAAGGTCAATATTATAAAGTTTATGTATATTACAGTGCGTAGTTACGACAAGCATGACAAATGCGGACTGGTGTGGATTCCCCGGGTGGTGGCGTACCGGTGCCGAACGTGCGGTATCTCGCCGTGCATGTCCATTTGCCGAGAGTGCTTCCATCGCGGAGATCACTCTACACACGACTTCAACATGTTCCTTTCCCAGGCTGGTGGCGCTTGCGACTGCGGAGACAATTCTGTTATGAAGGAGGACGGGTCAGTATCTATATAGTTCCATAACGACAGAGATGAAAGATTAAATTTCTACGTCTATGTCACTGATCATTTAAAGGCAAATAGGCAATCCTACTGTACATTTGTGTCTTTCAACCCGAACCAATTACAGTCAAAACCGTTTACGACCACGTCGTTTAGAACAACAACGGTTATATTGACCAAAATCAAAGGTCCCGGCTGAATTCTATTGTATTAGGTTCTTAATAACAACGTCATCGGCTGTTACGACTATCGGTTTTTACGACCAAATATGAGTAGTCCCTTCGATGTCGTTATAATAGATTTTGACTGTATTGTTTTCTCAGAAAATGAACCACGTATTTACTTTTACTAGTTACTGGGATATATTATACAGAAGGGAATAATAAAGGAAATAACACCTAATGTAATTATACATTGTAACAGAGTACTCAACACGAGGTGAGTCATACATAAAGCTCTCGGATCTTCTGAGCTCTTAAATCGGCATTTTACATGTACCTACTCCGTAATATTTATACATCGTCACTACCTTAAAGTATGTAATAGTTTGCTATGTTGTCGAATTGTTGTAGATAAGATGACTTTTCATTAAAAGCCGACTAATTGTGTTTGTAGTGGATATAGTGTAGCTTTAACCCTCGGTGGTGGATACTATGTTTCACTGAATGTGGCGTGGGTAGATCAAGCCCTGAGGTAATCGTGGCCTACGCGAGTCCGTCTAGGGACATCGTGGTCACTGCAAAAATAACTTGTACCATAATATTACGTCACGCAAATGATGTCATAGGCTTATAGCTAGCGGACCGGACAGTCGTTGTAACACACGTTTTAAATACAATAAAAATTTCGATTAAAAAATTATCTTATTGCAAAACAAACAATTCTCGAATCCACTTCAAAACACACAAAAAATAAATCCTGGATAAAATATATTTACCATTTCATAAGAATTTTAAATAATAATTAGTGGACCCCACAGACGATTCAGTTGTCGAGAGTGCCTTCTCGGTGAAATTCCCAACCTACATCATAATAAATTTCATAATCGTCCAGTGTTGGGTTCTACACACAAAAAAAAAAAAAAATTAATCTCTTTCTATGCAATTTATCTTGTAATATGTTAAGGTTATTACTATAATTAAATATAAAATTTAATTGTTAGTTATCTTCAGCAGGTTATAGATAGCAATGCGCTTGATCTGTGTGAAACTGCGTACCTCAACATCTCTCGCGTATCTAATGATCTTTTAATACCTCCATGATATGAGCTGTTATTATTATCCTATATTATTTACATCCAGATCTATACCGACGTATTTTTAGGTTTAGTAAAATATATGGCATAGAAAAACGAAAACAATAATGTAAATAATCTTCGATGTATTGATTGTTAACGTTTTTTAATAGCATATTAATGGATAACGTTGTAACAATAATCTAGAGTCGTTACATCCATCGTATCCGGCCGAAAATTGTATCCGTTTCTTTGGTCATTTTTATTTCATAGACAAGTAGGTGATCAGCCTTCTGTCTGACGCATGTCAGATTTTTGGATTTTAGACACGTCGGCTTGCTTAAGATGTTTTCCTATCCACTTGAGCGAGTCCTTAGTGCGCATCTAGACAGAAAGTCTATTAGTGCACAGCTGGGGATAGAACATACGACCTCAGGTATGAGAGTCGCACGCCGTAGCTACTGCTTGGATATCGTTTTAATTCAAAGAAAATAGGATTTAGAAAGGAGTTTTGCTTTTGTCAAATGATTTTCTCTTTATCATAAGGCATAAGTCTTTAGTAGTAATTTTTTTTTACAATGTGTGTGTAGTGTCACGTTTCCCGCAGGCCCCTGATATGCCTTGGCATGTCCTAATTACTAGTTATAACCGTTACAACGTGCGGTGTCACCGGCGGTCACACAATGTGTAACCGTTATGCTTGCCTTAACCTCGGCCTTCGCCCTCTACCCATAAAACAAGCGTCATAACATCTGGCAAATACGAGAACGATTATGTTCTATAATCGTATGTAGGACATACTTTAACTATTGCACTGATTTTGATTTCGTTTAAACATTTGTACTTATACGTGCTAAAACTAAAAGGCCTTTTAAAAAAATGAGACATAATTTAAGAATTATTTTTACTCAATTAAAATTAGGCAGTCGCTTTCTAACAATATTCACCGCAGACTAACTGTTGTTGACTTGCGATCATCTTCCTATATTCTGTGTAATTATTAAATGACCTTGTCAACGTTACTCCTTACTTTTAGGGATGTAACAGTACGAACATAGAAACATCACGAACATGTCCATACATAAGTATTTTGAAATGTGTTGAAAAGTTTCCCGCTATTTCATTTTGATATAAACACTAACATTATATTACGTTTAACATATAGTTCAGACGTTACCGCAGTAATTTTCTATCAAAAGTGTGCATTTATTATAAAATAATAAAATTTATAAAGTGAATTCAGAATGTGCGTCAGATAGTGCAGTTAGGTACAAACTCCTTGAATTAAGCGAATACAACTTTTTGTTCATTTAATACTTAATGGTCTGACATTTACAATTGGCGCGGTACAAATAATAAGAATTTATGTTTTCATTTTAAATTGCAGGGGTAGATTAAATATTTATCAACTAGAATGTTTTATTTTCAGACGCACAAACGTCACCTTTATAACCGCGACATAATTTTCACAGCTGTAGATCGGGGCTTTTATGTTATTAATGTCATGTCTAACAGCTGATGTAAACGCGACCTACACTAATGTAGATTACGCTGACATTTAGTTAGCCCACTGTCTGCTGTATGCGGCGGCTACACGGATTCTAAAATGAATTCAGGATTATCATTAAAATTATATAAAACTAGCTGACCCGGCAAACGTTTGTTTTGCCATGTATATTATTATGTATATTTTTCTAGGATACCTTTGTTTAGTTCAATAAAAATAACTAGGTATGTACAATAATAATAAATAGGAATTGATCGTAGAGGGAATGAAAATTAAGGGTTATATTTATTTTTGGATGCTGTATCATTAAAAAAAAAACAAAAAATTTTGTCTTAAAAGTAATTATTTTTTGGGGTGAACACCCCTTAACATTTAGGGATTTGAAAGATAGATAGTAGCCGATTCTCAGACTTACTGAATATGTATAAAAAAAATCATAAGAATCTGTCGAGCCGTTTCGGAGGAGTATGAGAACGAATATTGTGACACGAGAATTTTACTATATAAAATTATATTGCTTGTATCTGTCACCGTAAAATTGTAAACACCGTTAGATTGTAATCTATCTCGCGAGATTGTAAACTGTCGAAAGATTGTGAACTCAACGTACTGCTTACAATTTAACGTATTATTATTCGGTAGATTGTAATCTGTCGAAGTGAAACCGTCAAATTGTGAAACGGCCATTTTCTACTTTTCTATTGGTTATAAGAGATGTGACATTCTCGTTTTCTATTGGTCATAAGTGATGTGACATTCTCGGTAAATTAATCGGATCGATTATTTCCTCATTTGTTATTTTTAAAGTTGAACCTAATCGAATCGATTATTTCCTCATTTGTTAATTTTAAATTTAAACCTAATTTAACCATTACTTGTCAAATGTACATACATTACATTAACTTAATGTTTCAATTAGTGTATGGTTCCGAAAAATTTTCGAAATTTTTCCGAAAAAGTACCCAAAACCGAATCAGAGCACCCCACTATCCACGTGGTCTTGTCTGCCCTACCCCTCGAGTGTATATAAAAAAATCGGAGGCGCAGTGGAAGAGCAGCCCCCACCCGCTGTAACAAAAGCACAGGCATTATGCAAGCTGCGGAGGCTTGAATAAATTGCCTGTGCTTTGGTACGCAAGGGTGGAGGGGTTGCATTTCCCGTAGCGCCGGTGCTGTCCAAAAATGTATTATTATTCGGTTAGGTTAGGTTAGTATATTAATATTTTTTTTAAAATAACTATTCAACTGAAACTCGAAATCGAATACAAAAACGAATACAAAAATCGATTTTCACTTTTAAAAAATAGATTATTTTTGAATAATTTCAAAATTTTCGGAACCCTACACTAATTGAAACATGAAGTTAATGTAATGTATGTAATTTGACAAGTAATGGTTAAATTAGGTTTAAATTTAAAATTAACAAATGAGGAAATAATCCATTCGATTAGGTTCAACTTTAAAATTAACAAATGAGGAAATAATCGATTCGATTAATTTACCGAGAATGTCACATCACTTATAACCAATAGAAAACGAGAATGTCACATCTCTTATAACCAATAGAAAAGTAGGAAATGGCTTTCACAATTTGAGGTTTCACTTCGACAGATTACAATCTACCGAATAATAATACGTTAAATTGTAAGCAGTACGCTGAGGTTCACAATCTTTCGACAGTTTATAATCTCGCGAGATAGATTACAATCTAACGGTTTTTACAATTTTACGTTAACATATCGATTCTTGAGCCCTTATACGTGTTTAGATAAATAAGTTTATCAAAAGTAGGCAAACGAAAAGCTTTCGTTTTAAATTAACAATTCAAAATACAATACCTTTTTATCCCTGCCTAAATATGTTGCGCCTGCTATTTCCTTTAAGTATAATATATGTCATGTCTAAAATCTATTTGGAAAACTGACAATATTCTCGGGATTCTTATAATTGTTAACATTTTGTAAATGTACTTGTGTAATGTACATTAAACAATTGTACTTATTTGTCTTATAGTATAGAAAAGTCATGAGTTGTCTAAAATTTCAGGTTCTGCAGCAATCACGGGAATAAATGTCCTCGACCGGGTTCTGCGCCGGCGGAATTACTTTGCGTTGCGGAAGCCATGATGCCACGTCTCATACTGCGTCTTCTACAACACTTCAGGGAGAACAGTGATGGCGGCAGTTCAGACAACTATCGTGTTGCGGTACAAGAGTGCGAGGGCTACGTACAGATGTTGATGGAGTTCAATAATATGGGCGACCTCATGCGTTCCGCTATGACGAAGGCGCTCATCAACCCACAGGTATTTATCACTATTTATGTCTTAACAAAATTACAAGTGTTACACTAAGTTCAGATATTAAACTAGTCGTCCGCCTTATTAAATACTATTTGTGACCTGATACAGATAAAAACATAGAAAATATCTTTGCATATCAATCAATGGACTTTCTTTCTATGTGCGCATTTAACATTTTCTCGAACGGTGAAGGACATCATCGTGAGGAAACCGACTCCTCTTAGACCCAAAAACTCGACGGCGTGTGTGAGGCACTGGAGGCTGAGCCCCTGCAAGAAAAAAAATATCATGAAACAGATTCAGAAATCTGAGGCCAAGACCTAAAGAGGTTGTAGCGCCAATGATTTATTTCTTTATTTATTTATATCAATCAATCAACCAATTTTTATTAATTAGATGATATATTTAATATTTTATTGATTAGTCGTGTGGAGATTATAGATCATTAAAGGCTAGCACATCAATAAAAAATATTAATAAAACAGTTGTGTTTGACATTTGACCGGGGGCTTACGGGGCATTAATTCTTGAAGGGATTCATGACTTAATGGTTATAGGTCAGTGGCAAATGCGCTGGCAGTTTTCGTATAATTTTTAACCTTGTTTAAATATATTTCTAGATGTATCGCAACCTGGTGGAAGGTCCTTTTCCAGAGACAGAGTATGGACGCTACATGGCAGACTCAAACCGCATGTACGAACGGGCCTTAGAGAGCTTCCCTGCCCCAGATCCGCCTGACGAGTATGTATAAAAGAATAGAAGAATAATAAAACATCCGTGAAATTTAATGTTGGTTATTTCGACTATGTGTTTGCGTGTTGTTCCCTCGAGAATGTAAGTGCGTGCTCCTATTTCACCATGCCTTCTGCTGATAGATGACAAATCTTTGTTTTTAATTTATGTTATTATTATTAATTACTTAAAATGTCACATGGGACATCGTGTAATGGTTGCAGCTCCTTACAAACATTTTGTAAAACAAAAAAAATGGCGATTAAAAAGAGTGGCGGAGAGTTTATTTCCAGTTCTTCTCTCCCGTTCTACGCCCTTGATTTGAGAACTGGCAGTAAATGTAAAATTAGAAGCATTAATATGTATTTCTTTACTGACAAGTCATAAGTGTACATTATGTTACCTATGTGATTAAATGATTATTTATTTAAAGGAAACACATATGTGATGTACAATCCAACAGCTTGTAGTAAATTCTACGATTGTGTATTTGAGATATGTTAATTTTCAATATATTAATTATCCAGGAGTGAAATTAATAAAGAAATGTAATTACAGATTTCGACATTTACCGGCACTAGCGCCGCGTCTTCAACACAAAACGTTACTAGAAGAATTTATATTTTGGACATTTAAGTACGAGTTCCCACAGAACGTGGTCTGTCTGCTGCTTAACATGCTGCCCGATCAGGATTATAAGGTACTTGCAATATAATATTATAGCTATATGATCTTTCACCGCAAATAGTTGTAGGAATTGTAAGTAAGAAATATTAATATGAATGTGTGTGAAAAATTAACATAGAAAAATAATGATGAAGGATTAACATAACTCGGCGTGTGTATTCGCAGGAAAATTTGACGCGTACGTTCGTGCTGCATTACGCCCGCATTCCACTAGTGCTGGAGGGTGCTGCGGATCCTGATACGCTATCCAACCGCGTGGTCCATATGTCCGTGCAGTTGTTCTCCAACGAGGCGCTGGCGCTCCACTGTGTGCACCAGCTGCACCTGCTGCACGTGATGGTGCTGTCGCTGCGTCTGATGATGGGTCGGATCCTGGTGCGCAACTCGCTGCACGAGCCAGCCGCCAACCGCCACCGGGTCATCGACTGCACCGAGCGTCTCATGAAAGAGCACTGCTACTGGCCGCTGGTGTCAGACTTCAACAACGTGCTGTCGCACCGCTCCGTGGCTCTGCTGTTCCTGCAGGACGACGCGCTGGTCGACATGTGGTTCGACTTTCTCGCCACGCTGCAGGGCATGAACGTGAACGTGCGCGAAACCATGGGCCACATTGAGTTCGAACCGTCCTCCTACTACGCGGCCTTCTCGTGCGAACTAGAGGCCGCCGCCTACCCCATGTGGAGCGTGGTGTCGCACCTGCACGCGCCCGAGCACGCCCCGCTAGCCGCGCGCATTGTCCGGGCAGCCCTCACGCACTTGGGCTCTTGGCTGACGGCCGTGGGTGTCTCGGCGTCACGGCCTCCGGCGCCCAGAGCTCACGCCCTGCACGCCTCCTTCCACTTCCCGCTGCATCGCTACCTCGCCGCTTTCCTCTGCGCCGCCGTCCGCGAGATGCGAGTGCGCGCCGCTGATCTGCTGCCGCCAGCCGACCAGCTCGCCTTGCTGGCACACCACCCACTTAGAGTTCAGGTCAGTGCTCTTAAGCTTTACGATTATTACCCTTTTATGGACAAATGCGTCCTGCTAGGCATAGGTCACATATTCTAATTCGTATCTCAAGTCACACTCTTGTCTTGAGCGCTGTTAAATATATCGAACTTCATATAGAAAAAATGGTTTGAAAGCCCTAGAAATTAGATTTAAAATTGTTTGCCGTTTAAGAATACATATTTGTACAAGTTTTTCATTACCGTCGATAAAATACGGTTTAATCATCCTAATAATAATCATCAAGCGACGCGCTCGGTCGATGAATAGAAATATAATTACGTCAGTAGATTTACGTAAACTCAGACAGTGAACAATAGCTTAATATAATTTCTCTTTTGTGAGAAATTATAAGTACTATTTAAATAATATCACACACGAATTTCTATACATTTAGAAGAAAAATTTTCAAACTTCGGTAACACTCCGCTTTTGAACGGAATGAAATATAGCCTTCAATTAATTTATATTTACATTAGTTCTGATGAAATAAAATAACCAAAATAAGACTAATAACTTACAAATGTTTATTAAATCGAACTTAATTTACATTGAGTATATTATATGCTACGATTAGACTAGTAAGCCGCGACAGGCATGAAGTCGGGTGACTCTCCGTCGTCGGAGTCTGGTGGCAGCTCAGCCTTGACGTGCCGAGAGTAGTCGTACGTGAACAGTTTGGGTGCGATGAACCCGCCCGAGCCGCGGGTGCCACGGTGGATCATTCCAGCTCCGCTTATTAACGACGCACCTGCACCAAACATCACGACAATTACTCGACCATTTATGAAATTAGTAATTAAATAATTGAGACGAAAATACCTTTCAAGGGCTCTACTGGCTGTATGTCTATGAATGGAACCGTACTTTGAGCTGCGTCTGCGTCGAAATCACTGTTCGTGAATTCAATGTATTGGTCATGTTTAGAGTCCACGGGCAACGGACTGTTGCTGTAGATTGGGATATCTGGGTTCACCAGGCGCAATTGGGATCTGGAAATAAATCATTGTTTTTCAATTAACAATTGTTGCGTTGAATACTTTACTCATTGAAAAGCATAAGGACAAATGCTATAATCGTGGATACTTGCCTTGGATGTTCAGTTCCGTCGGTGTTATCGTTGCTGATCCACTGACTCCGTTCGGGTGCCAGTCGGCCCGTTGTGTAATTAAATGGCGTCGAACGAATCTCAAAGTGCAAGTGAGCTCCAATCATACGGAATCTGAAAAATCAAAGATGTATCGAAAAATTCGTTTTTTTTTTTTGGCTGCTTTGCTGGTCTTGTGACAATGAAAACTATTTTACCTGACGCCAGTCATAATGTGCCCGTACGGTGAATCCAGTTCGTCCAGATCGACTGCGCGGCGTTCATAGCTGAGTGTGTGGTAGTCGACATTCTCCCTGACGTCAGGATCGTCGACATCGAACTTATTGAACGGCACCCAGCCACCGGGCGTAACCGCCCCACGCTCTCCCAGTCGGCCCTCGCTAACCTGCAGGTGGAAGACCCGCCCGTGCTTTACCAACCGAAGTCCCGTTACCACTCTGTAAATTAAACTCGCTATAATAACTGTTTTTCTCGGAAATAATGTAACAGGACACCCGCGCACCATTGCTATTATCCACAAAGATTTCCCAGAACGAAGTAATGTTAATCTCTAGAAGAAAAAAGCGTGTTAAAGCGATCCAATATTGAGGAATAACGAGTAAAGCGTTAACCACTACGACCCATCGGAATTGTAGCAACTGACTTGTTTAAATCGATGTTAGATGTCGCTTCACGCATACTGAACGTGCGTTCAGCAATTGACACCACGTCTTCGCAAAGGCAGAAACAGTAGGAGCAGTGGAAGGGTACTCTCCACCACGAGTCAACCTTTGAAATAAAACAAATATTATTTGTATCTCTTCGATTCTAACACTGTATGACATAACGAGTGCCCATATTCATCCCCCAACCGACTATGGAAGTTCTTGGGTGTGTGCGAGTGTCCCAATGTAAATGGGACTAACTTATTATTTTTGACGTCGGAGGTGGCATCCCACAGACTGAAGTGGCGGTCTGACTTAGGACCCGGCTCGTCGCAAAGGCACATGCAGTAAGAACAGTGCCAAAAAAGCCAGCGCCACCACGAGTCCACCTGAGAACACTCCAGTTAGCTCTTACACGTAATGACGCGATACAATTTATATAAGTTACTAGCTGACCCGGCAAACGTTGTTCTTCCATGTATATTATTTCTAGGAAACATTTTTTTAGTTGAGTATAAATAACTATTAAATATAATAAAAAATAGGAGTTAATCGTAGAAGGGTGAAAATTAAGGGTTGTGTATTTTTTTATGCCAAATAATAATTTAAAAAAATTATCCAAAAATTATTTTTTTGGGGTGGACACCCCTTATCACTTAGGGGTTTGAAAGATAGTAACAGATTCTGAGACTTACTGAATATGCATAAAAAATTACATAAGAATCGGTCGAGTCGTTTCGGAGGAGTATGGGAACGAACATTGTGACACGAGAATTTTATATATTAGATAACAAAAGTTAAACTATGTTTGTGTTTACTCTGATATTGTAGGTTTCCTATTTGGATAACATAATATATAAACCACAATTAAGATAAAGCTTAAATTAGTTCATTATAGTATACATTTCGTACCTTTGTGGTTCCTCTCTTACAATATCCCATTCGGCCCAGTTTGCGTTCGTTTTCAAATTCTATCCATTCATAGCGTCTTGTGCTTTTTGCAGACTGAAACGAAATTGTCTTATTTGTATGTCTTTTAAACATCGTATAGTATGATATGTAATGTAAAGGTATCGTTAAGCGTATAAGTGAAACATACCGCCGGACAGACCCACATATCGGAGTCGACATATTGGCAGTTGATTATACGTCCCTTGCAGGTGGGCTGACTAGCACAAAACATGTCCTTGAAACAGCCGTAGTTTTTAGAGAGTGTGTAGTAGGCACAGTTTTCTTTGCACGTCATATCCGGGTTCATGTCTACCTCGTTTTCTATGTACCCTTGTAACAGTCGCGTAACTTCCTCGTATGTTTCTCCTGGAATAAAACAATTTTATTGTACAGTAGCAAATTCGTTGATAATCTACCTAAAGAGTTTTCTTGTCTTGTTTGTTCCGATAAAAGTTTTAGGGGTGTGTGTACCTTTGACGTGTTGTGGTGGGTCGCAACGGTAAAGATCTCGCTGTGCCATAGCGAGCGCCGCTTTTGCTGCAGTTGCCGTGCGGGCTGTCCTCTCCGTATACCTTTGTCTTGTTAAGCTCGCTTCTTGTGTAAAGTTTCCTGAAATAAGGTTTCCGATTGTTTGATATTCATCCATACAATTTGTATGACAATACTTGGCGATTAAAAAGAGTGGCGGAAAGTTTCTTGCCAGTTCTTCTTACCCGCTCTACGCCCTTGACTTGTGAACTGATAGTAAATGTAAATTTACAATTAATTTAACTTCTTTCTGACAATTCATAAGTGTACTTGTTTACCTACATGAAGACAGATATTTTGAGTTTGAGTTTGGAATACTAACTTTTGCTTTCTAACTTTGCTATGCGATTCACAACTATCTTGTTGAAGTAATAAATAATGAGGAACGGTTTAGATTTCCTTTTAAATTAAGCTGATGCCCAAATCTATACAATATAATTAGCTCCCATATCACGTTTGTCATAAAGACATTGCTCGCGATGATTAACTGAAATAACAATGAGCAATCTTCCTGAAGTTCAATCGACTGAATAAACGGAGTTTTGTTAATAAAATACCAAATTAAAATAATCGCTGTGCCTTTTCACAACTCATTCCAAGATTAGTTGGATATGACTAACAAATGTCGTGTTATTATCACAAAAGAACTGTGTCATTGAACTTAATTTTCTCATACGATAATTCCTACATAACTGTACTTCATGTATTAAGGTTCTTATAAAATTGTATTATCATACTGTGAAAACGTGAGGTTTTCTCAAAACGTATTATAGATTTATTATTTATTTTAGTTAGGTTCTACCTCCTTACCAACTTTCGTTTCTTTAAAGTGGTTTAAGTGTAATTTTATTTTTATTTTTATGTACTATTTAGTAGTAGTTCTTATATCGTGTATAATATTTCGATTAATTAAATAACAAAAGAAATGCGTAGATAAAGATGTTTGTTTTAAAATGAGATCAGATGAATAGGCTTCCGCGAATTAAATTGCACGTACGAGTTGCACAACCTTGACAACGCAACGACCCGACGTTAAATACCTAGCCCAGTCGACTTCACGCCATTTATAAACGCTAATGTGATCACAGTTCTAAATAAAAAATGTTTATTATAAATAAATCAATGCCTTAAGCTACTTTGTACAATTTGTTGAATCACGAGTAGGTAGGATTGTGCAAGTAATTTGATACTCCTAGCCTTCTTCTATTGGAAAGAAATGAAATACCTTTGCCATAAATCCTTAGTAGCATCCAAGAAAACTGCATCATAGCGTAACCTTTGATCTCAGTAAGCGCTATAGTGTTATACATGTCATAAATTAACTGGTGTGGGGAAAGCTGGAGTTCGCAGACCTCGGGGTGTCTTTCCTGAAAATAAATATAGATTTATAGATTGAAGTTAAACAATATGGAGAATCGTACGTTTAAACTCATAATAAAAAATCCTTATCAAGAAAAACAAAAGAAAAGTTATTTTATAACGACTATAATTATAATGTTCCTAACAAATCTGTAATTAAGAATACTTTAGAAATCACTGTTAATTTACAATTAGGGAATTAGTTTAGTTTCCAGAAGCAATTATGCCAATGAATTAGGGATATTAAACTTATGATTTTAATAATATGATTGTTTTAACTAAGTCGTAAATATGTTTTGGCCTCGTATTAAATCGGCCAATATCGGATGACATCAAAACAAGTACTCGTTACTTGGTAACGTAACACTTATCAAGTGTTGTATTAATTCCTTTGCCATTTGTCAACGGATGTTAGTGTAGCAAAATTGTCGAATATGCAATGAGACCCTTTTTATAATATAAACCGGGTTATTTTTATCTTGCGTATTAACATTTTACAAGAAAATATTATTTCATATTTCTTGGAAATGATGTGTTACTTACGTTCTGATCAAACTATCTCTAATAATGCAACAACGGTTAAAAATTAAATACATAATTAGTTATTATTCTCGAGGATATAGTAATTAAATACTATTAAAGATATTGTGTAGTAAGCTATGTAATCAGAAATCACATTACATTATGTGTAAGTCACGTAGGTATAGATGGTTTCTTTGTTTATGTATGGTGATCTCGTCACGAAGCCTTTATATGTTTTATAAATCATTTTACATATAAAATACAATAAATTTACAAAGATTAAAATTGGTCTATAAATTGTTATGTTTGAATAATATATGCTGCAAAGCTAATTATTAGTACATGCGTCAATTTTGTTTATCAAGTCGCCTTGACAATTTCTTTACCAACTGATTGACATAATTACAGTCTTTATTACCCAATACCGGAGTCTATACAGCTATGCTCAACACTAGGTCACTGACATTTCAACTTTCTGCGAATTACGTTTTTGTTTTTGTTAACTCGTCACTAAATTATGCTAATTATTATCGTCACATTATCATGACACAAAATGAAAATCGTTATAGTTGAGGTATAATATCGGAGGAGATTTAACTACATTTTGTGTATTAATTTGTATACTTCTGCTGATTTGATGTACCTGCAATACAGAGCGGAACATGTCCCCATGTTCTAGCAAATCATGCAACTTGCGTACGGCCTGCGACACGGAGGCACTAGGATCCATTAGAACGCTCTCTGCTAGATCCAGCCACTCACGGCTCGGTGCTGCCACCATCCCGGGCTTTACTTGCCGATGGACAAAGTCCAAGAAACTCTTGTAAAACCCGTCGATGATCTGCAGCCTCTCTACGGTCTTGATCCACAACCATGAGTCGAGTGGCGGGCGTGGAGTCCGGGGCACGGATGCAATATCCTCATCGAAGCTCACGAAAGCCTTTGTTAGTTCAATATCCCCAGCCACGCCGCCCTGCGTCCACTCAGGGTCCGTGACGTTCTTCCATAATTGCGACTCGAGAATTAAAAACTTATATCGTATGGAATCAACAGCTGTGGGATCACCTGCACTGGCGAAAGCCAGCAGCGCGAACAATGCCGCGCACTTCATTGTGATACGAACGTGTTATGGCCGCGGTTTGAGACGCACTGACGGGCGGTTGAGTGGGGACAGCCGGTTACGAGTGGGGTTTTGCGTTAGTGATGTACAAATACTTATTATCGATGCAATGATCATACCTTAATTAAATTTTAAAATCATTACTGTTACATTATTAATGCAAAAGTATTTAACATAACTTTTACTGGAAAACTTTTCTTTAATTTGCATTGGCAAAAAACGTGTGTGTTTTTGAAGCACATGCGTTAAATTATAAATTGACGTATTTCCAGGAGTAACAAGATAAGTCTTTTCAAAAAAAATATTTTACGTTTGTAGAAAAAACGACACTAACAATAGAAAAAACTACAATTTTGACTATAGCAAACTTCAGGATGTCAGTTTTTTGTGACGGTGTGCGCGCGCATCGTAAAAATTTACCCTCATCGTTTTTCGCTAACGCGCCAAAAGAAGTCCTAAATTAAATTAAGACCCCATCTCAATGCAGACAAGTAATCGATATATCAGTCCTCTACCTCGGCACGACCCGTGTATAATAATATGGTTAGCGCGCACACTGCAAGTTGCGACATCTGGCACCTTTATTTTTATTGAAATAAGTGTGTTATTGCAACAACCGAACCTAAGTCGAATATTGTGGATTATTGTTTGTTCGTAGACGGCTGACGCCCGCAGGATGAAAAGCGTACAAACTACAAAGATTTATTCGTTGCTATTGTTCGATTATAGTGGAATGGGTTGGCACGTACTAAACTTGTTCATCAATTTGTTGTCTTTTTTAATAAATTTCAGCGCGCGAATCTATTTATGTAAATATCTATTTTACAGCACACATATCAATTATTTATCTAAAAAAATGTGTATACTGTATTTTATGTTGATTCGGGTCACGAAAAGTGCATCATTGATTGATTTAAATTAAAGTTTCCTCTCCCACATCGCGTCGAACGTAGCACCCCTCGCTTACTTTATAAATTTCATACCGCGTCGAAAAAAAATTTATGATTTTATATATTTTTATTGGGGAGACAATATGTAATAGTTATCAGTCGTATTAGAGTATAGGGATAATTAATTCAAAAATATGAATGTTTGTTCCGATAACAACGGTTAATAATTTTGATTATTTATGTTAACCCGTATACAAGTTTATGCGTTTATTAATCTACAGTTGGCTGGGATTGCTAATAATATCGGTCGGAAACAATTTAACGTCCACGGTGTGAATTTCATCAATTTAAAATAAATATAGATTTTAAGTCTTCATATCATATCAATGTTTTTTTTATCACATTAAACCTCTTGATTTACTGCATCTGGAGGTCTTAGATACGATTCCTGCATGATCGTGCACGTAACATTTTACGTTGCCGTTAGCCATTTACTTGCCTATAAAATGCTGATATACAATTTTTTTTTCTAGTTTATTTATAACTTTATATTAAAGTCACAACTAAAATAAATATCTATTATAACCGTTACACATAATTAAAGATATATCTTTAATAATTATTCGATTAAGTGTAGTTAAATTTTTTAATTATTATAATAATCGCAATTATTACAATTAATTAGCATCGTTTTTTAATAGTATTCTATATAGCTTATAAAGAAAACGATGCCACTTATTCATATTAATTATCACTTATACAGACGTGCTGCAGGCAGATACTCTGATAAACGGAAATATCAACGGAATAAATACGTAGTAAATGAATGTACGCTGTGTTGACCTTCTGAGAATCATGCCCTATCGCTACGTTATACCTATTTGATTTGCGATGCATTCTATTTATTAAAATGTCTTATTTGCTCGACTTTTATTACTTAATTTAGGTTAAGATTCAGAGTTGAGGCTTAGGATGATGATCAAAAACGAGACTTGCATGTAGTCACATCAAAAACGTGTTGGATTTTGACATACGGAAGATATAGTTCTGATTTTGTGTTAGCTCTAAGCATGACTTTCATCAAAATCGTATTTGACTTTTCACTCACAAGATAATATGAATCTTAATCTTATACGAAACCTATGACAATCAGATAATAAAGGCGTAACTATGTTCGCAATTCTTATTAACTATGACAGAAAGTTAATAAATATTGTTTTTGTTCACGATTTTTTGATAAGCAAGTATGTAATAAGTTCAGAAGCGGAAAGGCTTGTATAAGGAAATAGCAGTTGTGTTATGGGTGACCTATTGTGATACTGTGTAAACGAATATTATAATTCCTATGAACTACTCGTATATATTTGTACGCGATTTTATTTACTTTTAACTCAATCTACTTTTGTGTCCTGTTGTCGAGCAAACACACACTTTGATCGGAAGTATATTATTCCAGTGACTCATAATAACGGTTGAACGTCGCGACCAACCAACGATCCCCATTTGTCTAACAAAGGTCATATTATACCAATTTAAATTTCTCTCATCTTTACGAGTCATTAAAATCGGAACAAAGAATATAAAATAGCTTTTAGAATTCACTTTTAAAGTACCTACAAAGTTTTTATTAGAAATATTTGTGATAAGCTTGAAGAAGAGCTAACCAACTGTTCTAATAATTTTATGAAATGGTGCAAGTTCAAAGGTATTTTTTGAATATTAATCTATTAAAAATGTTGATGAATGATGTTCCGCATTATAAATTAATTGAGTCATTGAGTTTATTAACCTTTCTTGTTATGTTATTATCGAAGTTTTATCTTTAAAAACGTTAGTTAACATATATTGATGAATATTTTTCGAGAAAAATTAGAGTTGATTTATTAAGATCATGAAGTTTACGTATGTATGTACATAATTTCCAAGAACGGAAATGCAAATGATCTACCACAATTGGCGGAGTGCGATGAATGGCTGTTTTGGAATGTGATGTTTATTGGAAAAGTAGTCGACACATTTCATAAACTTTTTCAACTTGTGTTAAAATGGCCTTACGTATGACGTCATCAATTTAACTTGAATGAACTGTAACGGTCCGGTGGCCTCCAAAGAGGTTACCTTCATATATAGAATATAATATACGAATGTGTTTAGGCCAGGCACGATTTCACAAACGGTACAGACCTGTAAGTCGCTCACAATGAGGTCAAGCAAACTATGGCCGAGTAGGTGGGCATGTGGTGGTACGACCAATGCATGCACCCGCTCTAGCAGGCCGGGTAAGGCCCCACGGTCGTGTGCCACACACCAGCTCGCGAACTCCTCCAAAGTGCGTCGCTCTAACTCGCGTTGCAATCGAACGTATTCACGCATCTGTCGATCGGCCGAGTCCACGCGGCTCAGCAGATCTGACATCTCGTTCAGTTTTAGTTCCAAGCGGGGGCCACGTCCTATATTCTTCTCCAGCAGCATCGCCACCACGCGGCTTTTCTCAACATCCACCTCCAACTTTTGAATCGCTCGCGTTATGTATGCCAAACGTGAAAATAGTTGCCTTTCTCTTTTATGAATAAACGGTAGCTCTACACCTTGCGAAGCATTAAAAGGTTTGCCAATAATATCCCACGAGTTTAACACTTCCTCGCCTATGTGTTTACTGAGAAGAAGCACGTCGACCGCTTCGTCTACGAAAGCGTGTGTGGTCGCGAGTGCGACGAGCGCCAACACAGCGCTCACGTGAGCGGTCATGATGACAGCCGGGCTGCCACTGGCGCCGAGCTCGACGCCTTTACATGGGGTGAACATCATACAACTATCGACTTTGCATTGCCGCCCGCGCGTTAAAAATTTATTTACCAAAACATTGTAACCAACATTTAAGCTTAAACAACTATTTTAGAATGCACATGAGTACTGTTAGTCCATTGAAATGTTACATTTTTTAGGCCTTACCTTGCGTTTTTTAGAGGACGCAATTTGATGTGTAGAGGGGGTCAGTGTAAAGCTAAAAACAAGTTTGTGGGGTCGCCACCCTTGTCCCACGGCCGCCATCTTGGAAAAAGGGGTCCTAAAACCACGTTTTTGGCTATATCTCCTAAACTATCCCTCGTACATAAAACTTGTAAAGACACATTTTGTAGCAAATCGCTGTGCCTACAATTATGTCTATGTAACTTTTTATCATAAATCCAAAATTCAAAAAGTTATAGCCAAAGCCAAAGTTATATCCAAGATGGCGGCCGGGGGACAAGCACGCCAACCCCACAAACTTGGAGTTAAGCTTGTATTGACCCCCCCTACATGTTCCATAAATAAAATTGCGTCCTCTAAAAAACGCAACCCCAAATGTAACTTTTCAATGGACTATGTAAGTAGTTTGCAGTAGAAGCAAGGCCGGATGTTAAACATATCACGGTTATGCAACGGAGAGGCGCAATGTTGCGTAACCGGTATATGTTTAAGTTGAAAAATAATAGTATATTTTATTAAATTTTAATTACAATTGCTTGAAATTATGAAGTGTATTAAGTTATATAAAATTCATAGTATACTAACGGACCCGAAAGACCCGTGCCAAAGACCCCCCCCACATCTTAATTACAAAAAAATCATAATATCATTGTAAATCTAAACCATTTGCTTTTCATCAAAATCGGTCCAACTATTTAGGAGGAGTTTTTTATACACACGCACAGAAGATCTATAATAAATATGTGAAATAATTTATGTATTTTCCCTTATAAATTTAAAATTATATTAATGGGGCAACACTAAACCAACAGACACTAATAATGGAATATAAAAAAACGTTTCGTATCTTTTATTGACATGTGATACGGGATACAAACAGCCCTTTGTTCCCGCTTAATTGTTTTTGTTTTACTTCATTTAAACCTTACTTTGGTTTCTGTGTATACAAACAAAATTGTCGCGTGGAATTTGTAATTTAGAACACAACAATAGTGGTAATTTGTAGTAATCTTTTGTAATTATATCTAATTATGGCAAAATCAATCGTTAAATAACTCATTAAACCGTTCGGAAAAATTTATTTTTTTAAATACAATTTTGTTGTAGTAGCAGCTTTGCATGTTGATATAAGCCTATACTCTCCCATGATCCATTTATCGCTAATAAGTCAGATTAGAAATTGAAAAGAGCAAGCTTTAGCGTGCGATTCACTGCCCTGAGCGTTCGAATCGTTGTGCACCGATTTTTCTTTCTATGTGCACAATTAACTTGCTTCTACGGAAATGGCGTCGTGCCTGCTACCTACTTGTCTAATAATTATGAAAGAAAAACATGCAATCAGTATCTATAAAGGGTACAACCTGTGAATTAGTTCGACATTAATAATACTCACTTTTCAATATCTTAAAGTAGATTCTCATGGCTGAATTGTTTGCTAACACGAGAGTTGTTCAACTGAATCTATCACATCTGCATGCAGTTTCATCGTCTGACGTCGAGGCAGATTACGAAATTCCACCCGTATCACCTTGACGTCCGCCGCTTCACAACTGAGCGTTTTTTAAGGCAGTTTTTGCCGCGAACCACCACTATGAGGAACCAGCTACCCACTGACGCCGAACCGATTCGACTTAGGGTCCTTCAATTAAAGAGCGTACCAATTCTGTAAAGGCTAGCAACGCACTCGCAAGCCCCCTGTCATTGAGAGTGTCCGTGGGCTAAGGTCCATATCACTTAACATTAGGTGAGCCTACTGCCCGTTTGCCCCCTTCTAATAAAAAAATCGGTGGCCACCAATATATTACTGACATCTCGTTCAGATTTATCAAGTCCTATATTCTTCTCTAAAAGCATCGCCACCACAATTACCTCCGAAAATAATACTTATCATAACGTAAATATGTCCAATATGTTAACGTTTTTGTTGCTGCATCATATAATTTTTTATGTAATCTCCCGCAGAGCCTGTTCTACGAGATCCTGGCGGGTGTATGGGTACGAAACGGACTGCAGATTAAGGGCCAGGCGATGACGTACATCCAGGCAAACTTCTGCAACTCTATGGTAGACATGGATATCTACTGGCTACAAATCTGCGCCGCGCAACTGCCACCAGATCAATTTATTGATATGTGCATTGATACGTAAGTTCCATTATTGTTTACGACTATTTCAACAGCACTGATTGAAATCCTATGAACCATTTTGATTCTGTTGTACGGGTCCAAATACTTGGGCGGCAAATGAAAACATCGTGAGAAAACCGGCATGACTTAGATCCTAAAAGTCGACGGTGTGTGTCAGGCACAAAAGGTATTAGGAAAAATAAATGATCACTAAACAGATACAGATATCTGAGACCCAGACCTAAAAGGATGTAGCGCAACTGTTTTTTTATGATTTTTTTTAATTAGAGAAAGTTACAACTATTTGTTTAGGTATAATTGTGCTGATTTAATTTATAATACTAGTTGTTAATTTCTACTAAGAGTGACATTCTGAGTGGTCTATATTATTTGTAGCCATATTTAAACAGGTCATAGTACTCGCGCTGATTTATTTTATTTATGTTATCAATATTGAGGTCTATGCGTTTCCGATACAACGCATTTTCCCTACTAATGTGACGTAACTGGTCATAAAATTAGTAATTGTTTTGTTGAGAGTTAGTCTAAGTACAAATAAATGTCAGAAATTTATAAATACGCTCAGTAAAATTATCTTCTTATTAGTATATTAAAATTCCTATCGTATCGTGGTCGTGTCTCAAATACTTCTGTAAAATGTAATTTATAATACATAAAATTGTTTGCATTTAATAATTCTTTGATGGAACTATAATAAATTTAATACTCGTTAAATATGTCGTCAGCGACTCTGTTACAAGACACTTGCTGCTATTATTATAATCACTTCTCGGTATAACATTGATGATGGATGAAATATGATGTGTTTATTGTAAAATAACGCCTTAAAACTAACAGAAGTAAAACTGTATTTTATTATTTAAAAATATATCTTAATATTGTTAGTTGAAGTTTATTCTTATTAAAATCAAACATGTCACATGAGAAAAAATATTAAAAACCGCCGTCGTACGCTGTACGAAGTCCATCTAACAAAAAAATTCACGTGCGTATTTGCAACGGGTCCACCGCTATTATTTCCCGTATCTCAAGAAGCAAGCTATTGTAAAGACTTGGTCGATTTTAGGATATACATAATATATGATTAGTGTTATGCCGGCTTACCTGTGGTTATATATTTTTTTACCTAAAATGCATGTTGTGTATTTATGCAACTGCTTGATGGTCATTAATAGTGTCAATGTAAAGTTAATTAACGGTAGTACGAGTAGGATAAAGAAAGAGGATTTTAATTTATTTATTTTGTAGAACCTGAAGTTGTTTAAGTTAACTAGTTGAAGCGCTATCCCATACTTCTAACAAATATAATAAATGTGATTTTCTTGGGAATTCTATATTGTCATTCGAACTGTTTTTGGAAAGCATCTAGCAACTGTACGAAGTATACCAGCATAAGATAATTTAAATAAATCAAATATTTATTAGCTTATATAAACAAGAATCGGTTTTATATACCTGAAATCCTATGAGTTTTAATTCCGTATACAATTTTCTTTACCACTGACTACGTAAGTCCTATTTATATATATAGTCATAAGAATAACGATTTTAATGAAATACATGTTTTGATTTAAATAAATAAATTCCTATATTTAATATTTGTTTATAAAACGTAATTGTGGTAACGTTATAACTATGATTTGTCTACTAAGGTTCGGCGTGCGCGAGTGGCTGAGTATGACACCGTTATCTGGCGCGCAAGCAGGCGAACAGGACGCCATGGTAGAGGGCCTGCTCACCTTCCTCGCTATCCTCGTGAGCTCGCGTACCAATCTTGGACATGACGATGTCCTACAGTCTCGCGTCGAGGTGGCAACACTCCTGGCCGCCGGTGATAAAACCCACTCGCAACTGCTGGAATTGATGCCCGAGCGTTCTGGCAATGCGCACACACAAAACTTTGAAGCTGTTCTGCGTGAGCTGTCCGTATACCGCGCCCCAGGCCGAGGATCCGAAAGCCTGGAGCAGGGCTTGTTCGTGCCGCGCCCTGTTGTTTGGGAGCGGTATTACGACCCGCTGCACGTTTTACGCCGCGCCGTGCATCGCCGTGACTTCCATGCCTCAATGGACCGCTTCGCCGCCTAGTCAGTATATATTTTGCATATTTTTGTATACAAATAACCATAGAAAACATATTATACTAATACACAAAACATGCATGCACAACTATTTATACATAATGTTTATTACAATAACGAAAATCTGTTAATGCTTACACAAACATACTTATAAGCGTGCTAAGTGATTATGTATACAGTTTTAAATATATAATAAAAGGAATGCGTAAAATATAAAAAAAAGTGTCTAAATACTAAATCAAATTTAGCTGATCTCTGCTGATCCAATCAAATTAAATTAATAATTTTGAAGTTATCTAAAATATATTTCTATTTCAGCGTGGCAGAAAAGCGTAAAGCTGAAGGTGATGGTAGTAATAGCAATAGTGGGACTGGTAACTTGTGGCCTCCACTTCGACCTGCACTTCCACCCCCAGACGTCGAGCTTAGTGGCGATCCCCGACAGATCTGCGCGTCTGGTAAGTTTATAAAGTCTAGATTTCACTGGGGTGTTCATTTTTTTTTAAATTTTATTCTAGTCTAACATGATTGATGATCCTGAGACGTACATAATATGTATTTGACTTAATTTAAAGCCCACTCACAAGTGTCTTTAAAGATCTGTTCGATGATAAAAGAATTTTTTTTTTGCTTAAAATAAATTTACTAGTAGAAATATTTTAGCATTCAATCTCATGGCATTACGCAAAAGTTTTATTGAATTAAATAAAATAATGTGTAAAGGTGTGCTGCATGCGGCGTTACTGGCGATACTGCACCGTGGCGTGCGGCGAAGAGACGCCAGCGTAGGTGGCGCCGCCGCACCACCAGACCACGTGCTGGCGTTGGCCGTCTACCTTCTGGCCACGGCAGCTGACTTGCAGCGAGACACGCAGGCCGCAGATGTACGTAAACGTGACTGTACTAAATCGATAAATATAGTAAATGTGTGTTTCTCAATTATAGTTCAGGGAGTGGTCACACACGACTAACATGATTTTTACACATTTACATACCATAACTGTACAATGTACATGTATGTAGTTTCTTGTGTATGTTCTTGTACGTAATTTTCATTAGAAATTTCAAAATTTGTACTTTTATATGGACTATTTAATTATAGTGAAATTTAAATATAGTGCTATTATTATGCATGTTGGAATTTTCTAACAGTAAAAAAACTGTGCGTGTACTAGGTGTACACACGTAAGAAGTGAAACTTCTTTATGATCTTATTTTTCGAAAAATGATCTACTTTCGTTAAATTAGATAAAGTTTAACAAAAGGCTTTTATTATCTATATATAGACATGAATACAAATATTTCATTTTACCTTATTACTACGAAGATTATTATAGAATTTCATTAATTGTAATATAATTATTACTATCATTGAAAAACGTGACGATTTGCTACAAAATTTCTCCCATACGTCGATAAAGAAGTTTCATTCCAATGCCGATAAAGAAGTTTGACTTCAAAAAGCAACATGGCGCGTAACCGAAAAATGTGACGCGTAACGAAAAAATGTTACACTAAATTTTTTTCCAACCTCGATAAAGAAGTTTCACTTCAAAAATAAAAAATAAATACTAGTAATGAATCTGCAAGCGGTTGATTTCTGTTATACACCTTGTCCTTGGACATAGGCTGTTCTATGTGGCTACGTAAAGCTAGAAACAGAGAAGAGTGGAACATTTATAGGCTTACTTTAATTACCTTATATGATATTTATTTGCAGCGGTCGGTGTGCGTATGCGGTGGTGAAGTACGCCGGGGCGCCAGCGTATCAGGCGTGCCATTGCTGTCGGCGTTCCCGGGTGGTACTCTCGCGGACAACGCACGTACGCTATTGGCGCACGTACTTCCACTGGATCACGATGACACATTGCCGCCACAGCCCTATCACTCTGACAGTGCGTACTATTCATTTATGTTGATGAAGTTATTTATAAAATAGTTTGATTATTATTGCGTGTTGTTCCCATGAGAATGTAAGTGCGTGCTCCTATTTCACCACGACTACTGCTGATAGAGGACAATATTTTTTTTATTATTATTAATTACTTAAGATGTAATGTGGAACATGGTGTAATGGTTGCTGCTCCTTACAAACATTGTGTAAAATAAAAAAAACTTGGCGATTAAAAAGAGTGGCGGAGAGTTTATTGCCAGTTCTTCTCTTCCGTTCTACGCCCTTGATTTGAGAACTAGCAGTATATGTAAAATTGACATTGTTTTACCTAAATGAATAAATTTTGTTTAGAATGAATAAATGGTTTTGAATTTGAAAGATTACAAATAATATTAATCTAATTAGTTTTATATTGAGTTAGTTTGCTCAGTACAATAATTACCTTACGTTAAATTACGTTGCTTAAATTTCGATACAATACAATTTGTTAAAAATCAATTACCTAGAAACAATAAGTTCGAAATATTGATAAAAAATGTCTTCCAGGCGAACCAGAATGGGAAAACAGTGAGGCAGGCGATGCTAGCAGTGAAGCGGACGCGGGGGCAGAAGGCTCGGCTGCTAGTCGCAACAAACCTGTATCGATGCCGCGGCCTTCCACTGCGCTGGCCGTGCCGCAACCTATGGAGGTAACTGATTTAGGCTACCCCCTTAGGTCTTTGAATTATTCAAACACTCCGTCGGAGGTCGAGTACTAGTGTAAAACATAAATGACATGGACTTAGTGTAGTGTAGTACTCGAATTAAAGGCTATTTTTATTAATTACTTATCGTACTATACTAATAAATTAAAAATAATATTTATCAGATACTTTATGATTATAAAAACTTTACGAATTTGTATAATAAGTAGTATTTGTGTAATAAATAGCTTTAATATATATCCTTTGAATCCTATATATTTCTTATTGAGACGTATTTTACATTTAGAAATACACAATACACAAAATTTAATAATTGCATATGACTAACGCTTCTCGCATTTGAGAGTAGTGTTGGCCTTACAAATTCAGCATGCGACTCTCATCACTGAGGTCGTAGGTTCGAACCCTGTGCATCAAAGGAATTTATAAGTGCGCAACTTAACACTCGCTCGTACGGTGAAGGAAAACATCGTGAAAAAAACTGGGCATGCCTTAGACTCAAAAAGACGACGAAGGATGTTTACCTACTATTAGAAAAAAAATGAACACGAAAGAGATAAAGTATTCTGAGATCTTGACCTAAAAGGTTGTAGCGCCATTGGTTTTCAAAATGTAGCTGATATATAAAGTTTAGCCTGGACCATTATAAAATGCCCAGTATTTGTTTACAGATGGCAAGAAACGTATCGATTTCCGACGATCAGTCGGACGCGGGAGGTGATGCTCCTGAGATTAGAGCTCTCGAGGTCAGTTGCAGAAATTGTGTTTTTAAAATTCACATCCCTAAGCCATATTTATTCGTTGCTAAAAAATTGCTGCTAGTAGTCAGCCAACTTTTCAAATTGTGTAAATTATAAAAAAAAGTGCGTGAGTACAAAGTACACATGTCAGAAGTGAAACTTCTTTGTAAATTAATTATTACTAAGGTAAAAGCCCCAATAGATGGTCATGTACCAGTATATGATCACTCCATGTATTTGTATATCTATATTCACTGTTTACGTGCTAATGATAGTATAAATAAATAAAAAATCCGCGTTTTTAGTACATGACGTTATGCGACAGATTTGCCATCTAAAGTACTAATATGTAACTACTAAACAAATATATGCACCAATAGCGTGTATTTTTTCTCGCTCTCCCTGACTCTCTCTCTCGATCTTTCTCAGTTGCTTGCCTCCTTTCTTCCCTACTCTCGCTCCATGGCTCTCACAGCGACAAAAACGCTGCACATCTTCGTGACGCTAATATTATTATTATTGCGTTTCATCCGTAAAATTCCTTCATGCGCCTAACGAAGATTTACTTCAAATATTATTTTTAGTTATAGATTGCCTAAAATGTGTTTATGTAAAAAAATAAAATTTAACGGTTTGTAGGCAGTGATTGCAATTTTTAAAGCCCTAATATTCCTGATAAAAGCCTACACGTCCACATAGATATCCAGATATCATAGATCTTTTGTTTATGAGGTCCACAAAGGACAAAACTGAATTTTTTTCGACTTCAACAATAAGTCATACTTAGAACGAATCTCTTTCTGCTCGTTCATAGTTTCATTATAGTCGTTTGACCAGCGTTAACGTCACGTCTGGCCTTTTACATGGTATTTAACACCAACATATATATGTGTACGCAGAGTGGAGAAACGGGCGCGCTCGTAGTCCAGAGCGTTGAAGTGGCCGGAAGTTCTGCGGATGGCGGAGGGCCTCACGACTTGACGCTCGCACTCACTGCGCCCATTCATTATGACGATGGTATTTGGAATCAATTTTTATACTTACAACTATCAAGTAGTGTTGTAGTAACAATAATTACATAATAAATAAGAATTTAAATGAACAACTTAATATAAGTTTAATTATTGTTTCTTTAAAATATTTGTTTGATTTAATCAAGCTAATTTCAAGATTAGCGGCTCTTAACAAATTTTTGTCTTAATTTGTGAAGCAGAATCGTAACTGAATAATTTTTGTTATGTTACCTAAATTGAAATTTTTAATTTTAATACTCGAATAAATGCTCTGTAATTGTGATGTTTATGCGGATTCCCTTATATAAATCCCAAAAATTCGTGATTTATAATTATTTAACTATTGTTAACTGGAACTCAGTTTTTCTGTTTAATTATTACCTATTAACATTCAGCGTAAAAATATTATTAGATAAAAACAAGGTCCTCATATTTCAGATATAGCAGAGCCAGAATGGGTAGTTGGAAGACGCCGTGCGCTACCCCCTCCGCCTGAGGGTGAACTGGAGGCAGAAATAGCGGGTGCAGCGGGAATAGTGGGCACAGTATCGGCACACGGATCTCAAGCAGGCGGGCAAGTGCCCGTCCACGAGTCCATTATTTCGCTTTTGCTCAAATTGCACTCACAACTCTCAGGGCGCCTCGACTCGTTCGCGCTCGATGAGCCGCCGCCCCATACTGATGAGCCCATCGGTGAGTATCCTCATGGCTGGATGCAAAATTATTTGTTTTATGATAATAAAATCATTTCTCCCATCTCCTACTACCGACCTACCGATATACGATCTAAAGATTAGTTGGAAGTTTTTTATTTGACCAAAATTCTTGTATTAGTCGAAAAATTTATACATTTTTGAAGTTATACCTACTTCTTTAGGCGCGTTATGAAAAATTGATGAGAGTGAAATTTTACGTTGCGCGCCCACCATGACACAAAATTAACAGAATGAAGTTGCCCACGGAAGATGCTACGGCATTGGACATAATTTAAAAACAACATTCGAATAATAATAGAATGTATGTTACGCTTAATGTAAGAGAATAATAATAAATATTTATTTATTTAATTTTTCAAATGTAAACTCAACTTTATTGACTATAATGACTCCTTTTCCAGTCTTTGATTATTTGATTGTAATTAATTATTTGCATGCAATCAAAAACTATTTTTAATAATGCCAAAGAAGTATAACTTCTTACGCGCGTACCTACATAAGTACACGCACCCTTTTTTTTATTTGCAACTAGACACCACACACCTTTCCTCGGGCCACTTTGACATGGAGATCTTGAAAATTTTTGATGAAATTCAATTCTCTAGATTTTTATGAAAACGGCAATAAATTCCGTGCAGTTGTTGAGTTTATCGCGAACAGGCTGACAGATAAATATCGGAGGAAATGTTTTTATATAATACAAGTTTATATAACTATCTTTACTATCAATCATAAATATCTCATCGCTAATGCAGCTTTCGTAAGAAACTTTATCAATCGACTAACTTTGCAAATCTTTGAATTTTTTGGGTTTCTATATAGTGTTAATATAATGTTTGATAAATGATGAAAATAATAGGTAAAAAAATTTGTTCAATAGATCCAGAGATAGGGGTAACCTTTAAACTGCACAGAATTGACTTCTCTATAATATTAGTATATATAATCGTTAAATATTCTTAGTTTATTCGGTCAAGATGGAGTAAAATTTTAACATATATTTACAGGTGACGGTCCCCACTTCATCGGCATAGTTCTCCATAAGCTGGCTGCTCTGGATGTAAGGTGTGCGGAAGCCATCCAACAGGTGCGCCGCACCATGTGGCCCAACCAAAGGGAGCGGCAGGCCGAGCAGAGAGCCAGGTAACATTGGGCCGGGGATATTGTAACATTTACCGAGTAAATTCTGTATGAGCCTAATATGTAGCAGTGGCGACGTTTTTTGGAATTTTTGTTAAAAATTGAATATAGCAATTATTAATTGATTGGGTTAAAAGAGGGTTACTGGACCGTGGTCCGTGGTCACTGCCTACCCCTTCAGGCGTGATAAATAACTATATTACTTCATTGCTAAGAAGGTCTGCGCCTGCGACGATCTAATTCGTCGGTTTTATTACGTGACACAAGCAAGTGTTGATAATAATTTTATCTGTATAGGGAGCGGCGTGAAAAGGATGAGCGTTCGCGACGTGCTCGTGAGCGACAGGATCAACTTATGCGAGAGTTTGCCCGCAAACAGCAGCAATTCCTGTCCAGCGTGCGCCAGCTCGAGGGAGAGAACATGGAGTGGGAAGAAGAGCTGCTTGCCCGGGACTACGACTGTGTCATATGCAACACCACCGCTCCCGCTGCGCCCCACGATCCCATCGGATTGGTGGTGTTGCTACAGTCGACGTCGGTTCTCGGTCACAGGCGGCGCGCCGGAACACCGGCGGGTGCGTTGGCGTTGTCTGAAAGCGAACGGGCGCGACTAGCGGCGCAGCAATACGGCACGGCGGCCGCCCATCACTACCGGTTGCACGACGACCTGCAGCAACACTTCGACCACGATTCCTGGGTGCTCAGCGTCAGCGTGGGCTGGGAGGGTGGCGTCGTGGCGCAGTCGTGTGGCCACCACGTGCACTTGCGTTGTCTGCGAGCTTATCTCCGCTCGCTGGCTGCGTCGCAGCGTCCTCCCAACTTGCACGTGGAGCTGGGTGAATTCTTGTGCCCGCTGTGTCGACAGCTCGCCAATAGCGTGCTACCACTGGCGCCACCACCGGAGCGTGCTCCGCGACGCCCTTCTTCGAACGCGTCCCACGCACACCTGGCGGCCCACGTGCGTGACATGTTAGACCGGGAGATCCGACCGCCCGTCAAGAGCCAGCTGTCGGAAGCGATGGGCAAAGCTATGACAGACATGACGGCGATGGCGGGTGGCAAGCTGAAACAACGCTACGGCTCCTCGCCTGCCGCTATCTTTACCTTTGTGGCATCGCTTGTGCGCACCAACTTGGAGTGCGAACTCGTGCAACGCAACAACACCCTTGTCGCGCAGCCTACCCCACGATACAAGCCTAAAGAGGAGTGCATCGGTGAGATTTTCTTGAATTTTTTAAACAAGAAATATTAGTTTCATCATTCCGTTCTCAAGAACAGTAATTTTGTACAAAACTAGCTGCCCCCGCGAACTTCGTTTCTCCTTAATGTGATTTTACTTGTGATTTGCTATGCTACCCTAGAGATTGTTCGGTTTTCCGGAATGAAAACTTTTTAGGTTGTTCTGTGAACTTTTCTCTATATAAACCTCAGAGTTCAAGTCATAAGTTTTTAATTAACAAATAAAAAATAGGGGTCGATTGTAGAGGGGTGACAATTAAGGGTTATATGTATTTTTGTATGCTGTATTATACAAAAATGAAAACGAAAAGTTTTGTCTATAAAATTAAAATTGGGTGGGACCACCCATTTAGGGCGATGAAAAATAGATATTGTCCGATTCTCAGACTTACTGAATATGCATAAAAATCATAAGAATCGGTCGAGCCGTTTCGGAGGAGTATGGGAACGAACATTGTGACACGAGAATTTTATTTTATACAAAATTAATTTTTCTCTTTTACCAGTAAGTACTTAACCTATCTAGTAAAGTAAAGTTAGATAAAGATTGAGATTATTTTAGCAACAAATAGAATAATTAAGTCGTTGATGTATTGCAGTGCCACTGATGTCGGTGGCGGGAGCGCACGCACGTGCTCTAGTAGTGGCGGGAGCGTCGCTGGGAGTGGCTAACACTTGGCGGGCCCTCGTGCCCGAAGCCGCAGTGGAAACAGTAGGAGTATGTGGTGCCGCCGTCCCTACTGCGGGAGGCACCCGACCCGTTCCACTTCTGCTACGCGACCCTACCGCGCTTCTACTGCACGTGTTATTACTGGCCCCCGACGACCCGCCGCATCTGGATATCCAACATTTCACGAGCATCGTGCGGGCGCTCTACACCCTCACCTACTACCAAGTAGTAAACCAGCTGTGTGCAACGGGTACGTTGACCCCAGCGCAACACTTGCGACCTGAAGGACGCGCGCGGGGACTGCTGGAAGCGGCGCAACTGCTGCTTGCGGCCCGGGCTCCTCAGCACCTTCTGGATGACGATGCAGCACATGCTGAACCGGATGCTACGTTTGACATTGACAAAGCTGAGGAAGAGGTACTTATATCTTCTAACCGTCCGTGTTTTATGAATTTTAAATTCTTAAGTCAAGTATATGGCGAACCATGCTATAAAGCGAGTACACGGTTTTAGTGAATGGTTCCATGTCTTTAAATACTTTATATTATTCGTCTTTTTAACAGACTTGGACAGTTCACTGAGAGTTTACATGTCAATACTGAATCTATATTGTTCATACAGGTACAAGATCTAGTCCTGCCATACTTGCGGATAGTGTCCCTAATCCGCGCGCACGTATACGACTGCGAATTGCCGCTCATCACCAGCGACCGAGACGAGTTTGGTGCGCTTCTGCGGTTCCTGCAATTGGCGGATGGCGAATCGCTCCTGGCGGCTGACGCTTTACCTGCCGGTGCATCGGCCGCCGCCCGCGCATGGGCGCGACAGTTGGCCACAGCCAGCGCTGGAGGTCAGCTGGCCATCGGTCGTGTGGTACGAGGGCTGCACGCCGTATGGACGGGCCCAGCGCTCCTTAGGTTACCGCGCGAGTACGACCGCCTCTTCACCTACTACCACGAGCGCGTGTGCCTTCAGTGCGGCGCAGTACCCAAGGAGGCCTCCGTGTGCCTTCTTTGTGGTACGTTGGTGTGTCTGAAGCAACCTTGTTGCCGTCAGCACCAAGTCGCCGAAGCGGTACAACACGCCATGGAGTGCGGGGGCGGGACGGGCATATTCCTGGTGGTGACGTCCACTTACATCATCGTCATCCGAGGACGCCGTGCCTGTCTCTGGGGAAGCCTTTACTTAGACGACTACGACGAAGAAGACCGAGACCTTAAGTGAGTTTTTTATTGGCAAAATATCGCATAAGTTATTAATTACCATAGACTGGGTATCAGACGAAACTATTCATATCAGCGTGTCCTAATGTGATCCTGAGACACCGTATGATTTGGCTATTCGAAAATTTATTTAAATTATTTACTTACTGGGTTTCGTTGACCATTTCCTAGTAATTTTTTCTTCCTAAAACCTATCATTTAAGTTTCTTAAGTGAACACTTCCTTTTTTTTTAATATTAAAATTTAGCATAAGAATTTTAAAAGGCTTACATGGGATGGCACAAAAAATGTTGGGAAACACTGATCTGTATTGTAAAGACGTGGACCAGGTCTTGTCTTTGAAGCCCAGTGCTGTGATCACCGCCCCTGTCAACATTTTCACTATTCTTTTATATAAATATACAAATTTAAGTCAGTTCCCTGGGTTGAAAATTGTTTCAAAATTTGATCATGGAAAAAGATTGAGTCTTCTCAGTCTTTGATCAGCGAAACCTGTAACTTACTAATGTAAAATCAAATGTTTCTAAATGCTTTCACACAACTTGAGCCAAAAGTTCAATACTTGTGTTTTATATTGTGTTATCAATAATTGCAGACGAGGCAAACCACTATACCTGAGCGAAGACAGAGCCGAGCTGCTCCAAGCCCAGTGGTTGGCTCACCGCTTCGACCACACCAAGCGCACCTGGGTCTGGCATCGCGACTCTCTATGAGCTACTGGACACGTGCGATCGATATGGTAATAACAGATACAAAATACTTTTTCTTACACGTAGGTGGGGTGCTAAAAGTTGTGATTTCTGTTTGATTTTTTTATTCTGATATATTTTAGTACTTTATTGTGTGCTTATTATCTTGTATATGTTTTAATTTTAATTTCTATTTTTTTGTAAAACTTATGTTTACTTTAATTGTCATACATTTTAGATGGAAGATTTTGTAAAATAATTAGTAGATTTAGTACTATGTATGATGTCGTAAACTTAATAACTAAATAAATAAATACTCAAATTGTATTGCTTTCAGGTGAATCAGGAACGAGTCAGGATCGTGAAAGGTTCGCAGGTCGGGCTCTGTAGTGACTGACTCCAACAACGAAGCCCCAGAGCCCTGGGACGTCTTGCAGTCTTATTTAATCCGCTGTGCAATTATTGCCAAGTGCCTCATTAAACCTTTGATCTGTTTTTGTTACTTTTCTCTTGGTTGCATAAATTTTTAATTTTGGAAGCATTGTTGAGTACCTCAATCTCCATTATTCTGATGGCCTTAAGCAGAGGACTTTATTGTAGATATGAAATTCTAATGATCTCTTTAAATGCAATATACTTATAGAATTGATACCCTTGAGTCGGCAATGCTTGGTGCTTCACTCGACCGCTGTAAATAAAAATCAGATGTATGTGTATTGCCGTCTCTCTCTCTGCGTGCAACGTCTCCGAAACCGTGCGACGAGGACAGAGATGTCACAGAGCTGTAAATAGGAAACGTTAGGTGTATGAAGTGTTAGGGCTGTGACACGAACCGCTATCGCGGCGCTAGTGTAGCGAATAATAAATTATTTTTATTTCGTTTATTATACTGTATATGTCTTAACGAGAACGATTCTGCCACATAACCAATTTAGTTATTTCACTAACTGTAGTTAAAACATTAATTAGAAAAAGTATGAATTAGTCATTATCGCTCGGTCCGTTATCAAAGTACATTCGGTTTAATAGAATGCGCATTAGGTTATTTGTTAATTTTACATTTTGGTTGAAAACACCAGTGCGATGATATAGGGTATGTTACGCAACCTACGAATTGTCTTTCTATTTTTGTATAATTTAAAACATTGATAATTAAATATCTGTTTTTGACTCGACCTCTTTTATTGTATTACAACCACAGCTTATAATGGCCAAATATTTAAAAAATGAGTATTTACAATATTGCGACAGAGATGTCCTTCAGCATCTGATGAGGTAATGTTGTTAACATTAATATTCTATGTAAATGTTTGTTGTATATGTTCAGACATTAAAGTTGTTGATATTTCTATATTGTTTCATTTCCAATAACGGATATAACTTACGGGGATAACTTAATCTAAAATTAAGGACTTATTGATGATGCGATATCATAAATTATTGTTCGTTTTGAAAAGTCTTACTCGGGGCTGTCATAAATAAATTATCTTGATGGCATCACAACCTTGGGAAGAATAGGTCGTAAATTAGTAAATTGACACCCTGTCAAGGATTGCCCAAGACTCCCGCTGTTTTCCCCAGAGCCATGACAGACGTTTAGAGAATTAATTAAAAATTATAGATAACTTCAAACAAAGCAGGTCACATACACACATTACAAACTTATGAGTTTAAACTATATGTGATGATTATATTTGAGTATTCAATTATTGTGTCTCTTAGCAGTGTAATAAATATAACAATAAAAATACAGAACAGAAGTAAGACTAAGATATAACAAAATTATAAGACCTTAAAGTGTAAGTTGACAGCTTTATGATTTTTAGATTTCCAGAGTTTAATTCAGTCAACACAATCGTGAGTACATAGAAAATATTTTTATTTTTGAAGTGAAACTTCTTTATCGAGGTTGGAAAAAAATTTACTGTAACATTTTTTCGTTACGCGTCACATTTTTCGGTTACGCGCCATGTTGCTTTTTGAAGTCAAACTCCTTTATCGGCGTTGGAATGAAACTTCTTTATCGACGTATGGGAGAAATTTTGTAGCAAATCGTCACGTTTTTCAATGAAGGTAATAATTATATTACAATTAATGAAATTCTATAATAATCTTCGTATTAATAAGGTAAAATGAAATATTTGTATTCATGTCTATGATAATAAAAGCCTTTTGTTAAACTTTATCTAATTTAACGAATTTCTGTAAAGTTGCATATAGTAGATCATTTTTCGAAAAATAAGATCATAAAGAAGTTTCACTTCTTACGTGTGTACACCTAGTACACGCACAATTTATTTGTTTCCCGCAAATTACAATGACCTGGGATCTAACTAGTTCATTCAGTTTGGACCTGTTATTCAATTATAGAGGAACATCAGGGTCCTCTGTAAATTCAAAAAGCGATCCCTATCTCAATAACGAGATTTTGTACCGCGAAATCCCGAGGTTGCAACATCACAGCTACGGATATTGAGAGAACTACATCGAACTAGTATACAAAAACACAAGTTGTACAGGCGCAGATCTATACTCTTGCATCGCAATTCAAGAGATTGAATTACGACGAGATTTATAAGCATGTAACTCTCTTTAATTAAACGAGTAAAAAGTATTCACAGAAACTGTCTTCAAGACTTAATATTTATACATGTAATCACGTTATGTGGATCTATGAATAGTCTACATATTCAGATAACACCTAAAAGCTGATTCGATATTTAACAGCTAAAGCTAGCTTAAGTTGTAGACGTGCAATAGTTTTTTATCAAAAACTATACTGAAGGATGTTTAATTCATTAGAAAAGTAATAAGAATGATCTATTTAAGCTTCCAAGCTCATGCCTTTTCTCGGTAACCCTAGGAAGTTAAATTTAGTTGACCATTTTGAATTAAATCAGGTACAAGTAGCGGCACGAAACTCTAGCGCTGACCGTTATTGCGCAGAAGTAAAAAATAAGGTACCTGAGGGGGGCTAGCGGAATGAAGAGCGGGCGCGCGTAGCGTCGATTCCGATTGGCTCTCCAGTCGCATTCCGTCCCCCGCACTGATACGACGCCCCGCGCACATATGCTATTAATATTATTGTTACTGTTGTTACGTTTTGTTGTTTTTTTTTACGTTTGAATTTGTTAGTGTTTTGTTATTTGTTTTTAAGTTTGTTTGTGACTTTAAAGTGAATATGCCTAGAACAAATACTGTTTTGAAAAGACAAGCCAGGAAAATGGTTTATGACGTGAATTGTTTTTTAAAAAGGGAATCTAACGAATTAATTGATTCTTTGATTCGTTATTTAGGTAATCATTAATCAAAGTGGCATATAATGTATTCCGTGCGCGACAGTACACATGCGCAGCAATCCCCTCCACGTATCGGCCAGCGCTAGACTTACGTGCCGCTGCCTATATAATGCAACTCAGACAGCAGTGTAGGAATAGCGTGCGCCTCAACACTGAGCTCGTGTGTTCGAATGGTGGCTTTCCACTAATAGATTTTACTTTCTATGTGTGAGGTTTCCTTCGGCGAGTTTCAGGTTCGACGAAAAATCGACGGTGTGCCCTTCGCAGAAAACCGATTATATTTTTTTATACTAAGAAAAAAATAATGACAGGTATTTGGAGTCAGTTTCATTTATCTAAAAGACATAATATTATTATTAGTTGTTTATTTTTATTGATTTTTTTTTTTTTTTAGGAAGAGTTAGTTACATATTTATAGTGCCTTTTTAGGGGGTCACTAAATGCTTACAATTTAATTATATAATAGCTACAATAGGCATTATATATATATCATAATAAAGTTCTGACTGAAATGATTAATTAGTTTAGGTGCTAATTATAATATGTGAAGAAGGGAAGTAACAAAAAAAGGCACAATTTGTTAAAAGTTTTAATGTACATCAACTATTATTTGTATAGAGGTAGAACATTCTACTCTTAAATATAAAGTAAATTGCTAACGTACGAGCATACAAATAAAATAATTTCATAATTTGCCGGTAATATCATCTATAGGCGGAGTCTGAACCCGGTCGGTGACGGACAAGTACGAAATCCCTTCACAATATAAAACGATCATTTAATATGAAAAACACACAAAATATTCCTGTTTGTCAATAATAATAATCTTTTTAAATAAATGAATATTTTATTATAGGCATATTTATGAACCGTACATTTTTTTCGAAAATAAAATTATCACAGAATAAAATATGAAACAATAAATGATGGCAACTCGTCCCTCGCGATCGAACAGAACGACCAACTTAACAATACTTAGCGAATACTGAATATTATTTATACCGAATTAACTTATGTTACGTACAATCATTACTTTGACACAAACCTCGAGGAATGTTGCCCGTTACACATCTAATATACAATTTAGTAGGTCGCGTTAATATTATATAAACGAAAATATGATCCCGCATCTCTAATAAAACCTCAATCGTTTGGACGTTTAGTCTAATTATTATGTCTCAAAAACATACAAATCCTTAATCTACTTTACCTCTATGGTTTCGACAACTCAAGTATCGGCGAAAGGCCACAGCCGCGTTGCTTTCGTAAAAATTGAATCTGTATACGTTAAAAATATCGCTTTGAGAAAATACGTTTGTAAATTGATCTGAAAAAGATAAAACTAGTCTCGCAACACGTCCACCCTTCCGCCGTACATATACATCTTATATACATTACACCTAGTCTACGCTACCTAGCTCTATACAAGATACGTGTAAACGTGAACACATTCAATAAGATATGGGATTCAGTCCGCTCCGAAGCGAACGCTCGTATGGCACAGAATTCAACCCACAGTGATTATTTTAATGTATAAACTAATGCCCTTCTGTTCGATTTATCACTGTGGAAATGTTAAGTAAAGCAAGAAACGATTACTATAAAGCGTTTACGTATATCAGCGTTAAAACTATAAATTCGTACAACTAATTCATATATGAATGAAATGAACTAGAATAATTAAAATATACTGGTCATTCTGAGATCTGGTCGTGATCTGGTCAATTATTGAAATGTTTTATGACATCTTAAAGTCAAAAAAGCTGAATTTAACTCTAACTTATACATCAAAATTTCTTCACTCAAATGAAGTGAACTAAGCGAGAATGTTTACACATATAAAGTAAATCTCATATAAAATGTTTTGTTTTAATAAATTAGTATAAACTTGGTATATGTCACAATGAACACTATGGTTTAGCCAACCCAACCTCAGGTTCGAGCTTTTAACCATTTCATGTATTTTGTACAGGTTATTGTTAAATAGTTTGTAACATTGCCAAGGTGGAGTCAACTCCTGATATTATGTCGAACACTACAATTAGTTTGTATTTATGGTAAGAACTAGTGCTCGGGTTCCAAAAGGATAATAAATCAGACAATCACAGTAACCGAAATCAGTATACAAAAATACAATTTCACATCAACTGTGATTGTCCGAGTCCATGGCTCCAACCTCTTGTTAAACTTCCTTACCTTAATATAAGGTCGGATGGAGGACGTTATAAAGAAGGAATGTGCCACGAGGGGAGAGTGGGGCCCTCTTGTGGGGGAGACAGCAGTGACAGAGGGCCAGGGGAAAGGGGGGCAGGGTCGACGGGCGAAGCAAGAGCGTCATCGACGGGACAATCGCAGTCGTCGGCTCGCTCGTCCCGAAAGTTCCCGTAGTCGTCCGTGAGCTGCGCGTGACGTAATACGCATACGTGACGACGCACGCCCGTCCATCGCCATCGCTCTGGAAACAAAAGCATTTCATGAATTATTATTTTACCTAAATGTTACATCTTAACACTGATGAGATAATTACCGTTCCTATATTGAAAATAAATAGTTATATAATATATTATAGGAGAGTGGAATGGAGCGCATACTACGAAACATATTTATGGGGACATAAAGTGTTTCAACAAAGATTCAATAAGCTATATATCCATTTTCCATTTCTAAAAATCATCAAAACTACTTGTGTATATATAAATTTAAGTTAGGTTAATTCTGTCTTTACAGACCTATATTGAAATGGGTTTCTTACAAATGTTTAATAAATATATCATTACCTCGACTCAAATCACCATCAGCAATTAGTTCTTCATTCATGAGTGCAGACAAAGCGTCATCAGTGTGCTTAGAGTCTGAAATAATATTAAGTTTAATTCAGTCATTCTAATCAACAAAAGAGTCAATATATAATTATAAATACAAAATATTAATTGTGTAACTTAATATTAATGTAAATACAGAATAATAACTTGTGTCAATATTATTATTTAGCCCCCCTGGCCCAGTCAGGCACATAGTGTTTTAACTCAATCAAGAACTCTAACAACATAGATACACCAATCATCTCATTAAACATCTTTATGACTTACCATAGTCTTCCTTGATTATTATCTCTTCTTTAAAAGCTCCAGGCGATGCAGAAGTTGGAGTTGTGGGTGTGGCAGGTGCAGTGGGGGTGGTTGGTGTAGCAGGGGGCGTAGGGACAGTGGCCACACCTCCTGACACGCACGCGTCGCCACTGCTATTGGAACTGCATTCAGGGCTGTATGGGGCCATCTGAAAGTGATACATCCACTATTATATTACTTTTATAAAGTTTCTCCAGGCTATTAAAACCCTAATTATCTATATAATGAAGAAAGATATAATTTGTCATTTGACATACCCGCAGGCTACGCCGGCGTCGTGGTGTAACTTCAGCCATTTTATAACTGCTATCCATAGCCCAGTAGGAACCTTTGCCAGGATCATCTTTACTTCGAGCTACTTTCATGAAGCATTTGTTTAATGAGAGGTTGTGCCTTATTGAATTCTGTAAATATTTTCATTAAAATACATAAACAATACTCTTTAACAACGATCTTGCTGCCATAGTTAATATTTACTGTTAATTTTTCCAAATAGAAATACATAATAAAAAAATAGACTTATAGACTTTTAATTTTACTAAATTTAATCTGATAAAAATTATACCTTAAGAAAACTAATTTTTTAAAGTATAATATGCAAAATTAATAACAATAACAAGTTATAGGAAACCCTGAATTACTAGTAAGAGATTACATTACACAGCTTTAGCGACAGAAGTTATAATATTCCCTTTTTCTGTAATTATAAACATTCTTTACCTTTTTTTTTTTTTACTTCACCTCATTTTAGTTGAAAAAATTACTTCTAATTGAAACACTATACTAGAACTTACCATCCATCCTTTTCCAGCTTCTTTGTAATATGGAAATGCATTGCAAATATAATTGTATATTTCATTAAGGGTCATCTTGCCATTTGGTGAGCTGCTAATTGCTAATCTGATCATGCTTGCATAACTATAACAAAAGTTTACATTATTGGGAATAATTGAGACAGGAATTTTGTATGCACATTTGAAGAAATTAAAACCAGCCTATTCATGTTAGGTAAGTGTTTGAAATAATTTTTTTAATAAGCAATTCTATTTGTGAATCTGTAAATCGTGGAGAAATTACTAACATAGACCAGTATTATAAGATATGAATGACATCATTTTATTTATGTAAATAAAGTATAAATAGCCCGAAGGTTTCTGTGAACAAGGAAAACATAAACTACCTGTAAGCTGGCTTAGGATGTTTTATTTTATTAGCATTTAGCTTTTCCTCAATTTCCTTGTTATTGTTTTCCTGTTGTAGACATAAAGGTTGCACATCTTCGTACAGAAAGCGGGGAATGGGCCCCAGTGGGCTATGTCGCGGTGGTCCCGGGCTGTACGCCGGCAGCCACTCTACCCCGGGAGAATCACTCATTGTTCAACATATACGCACTACACATCCAAATCCTTTACAGCATCATTCCTCTAGTTGGTTATAATAATACGCCACAGAGCGTTGAAACATCGACCGTGGGCGTTATTATTATGTTCGTGCTACCTCCTCAAAACATTTTCTTTACTTCTCATTGTGAACATCAATCAAACTCAAAGGTCCTTGGTGCGTCAAATACGGGCACTTCCAGAAAATTAAAAATCAGGGCAAAGGTATAGTTGTTAATTTCAAATAATTGCACTTTCAAAGACTTAATACTAAAAAAGGATAAAAATAACGTAAAAAACTAAATTAAACGTAATTTTCGTAAACTAGAAATTATTATGACATTTGAGGCGCCTACAACAAGGAAAATGGCGTTACACAGACGATAAAAGATATCATAGCCAAAAGTCTATGAACTATAGATAAAATATAACTTCAAATATCGGTAAAAAAACAATAACACTAGGAGGAGGGCGTAGATTTGAGGAAATTAAAAGCAACATGAACCAGCTACCTATTTGAATTATATATAGATCCTAACCTATGCCAAGGTTATAAGGATTTATTATTTAGCCAGTGCAACACTCGTGCCACTTGAATAACATGCAAGTGTGACCAAATTCAGTAAAAAATATTTCTCCAATTTTTTTAGTAGATTTTATTATCTTAACTTTAACGAAGAAAATATTGTTATATTGCCGGAAAATATTTTAGAAAAAAAAATATATGAAATTTCTTGTAGTATTCTATTTATTTGGTATGCATATTTATCCAAAAATTTTATCATATTTTTTGAATTTAATCAAGTATATTTCAACTTAAGGAATAATCCATAATAATTGCACTTTTTTCCCTTTATAGTTGTCAGGTATGTAAAGTAAATTAAAACTTTTTAAAGTTTATATTTTGGTATATTGAGAAATTTTGTAGGCTAACACTGATCGAAGCGCCAGCTGCCACTACCATTTAGTAATCTGTGGCCGCCAGGCGCCAAGTACCAACGGCCAACTACATCTTTTAAAAATTGACAGTTTTTTCTAAGTGTCGGTGTGAGTCAGATGTTTCATATGTTATTCTTGTTACGAGTTTGTTGTTAAACAAGTTTCTTATATTTTAAATGCTGAAAGATAGTTCAACAACTAGTTTATTTCCGTGTATGTAGTTCAATCAGTGAAAAGTATGACGACGCAACCAGAAGTCGGGGTTCCCGACTTTGTTCTTCTGGACAATTTGACTACGGACAAATTTATTGAAAATCTGCATCTCAGGTGAGCCTCTTATTATATATTTTTTCATAACTTGACATACATAACATCATAAACATTTTGGTTTTGAATACTAAAAGATACGAGGATTTTTGTAATAAAACTTCATAACAACAGAGTTCATATTTTGAATGAATATCAACACTTGTGTAAATTTTCAAAGAATATTGCTTTCATTGTTGTACATATTTATTTATATTTTATTAAAATACAGTTATTAAACTTTTATTTCAAATATTTAAAACAGTAGTGTGCAGATACTAATGTTATTATGTGTTTCATTTCAACAGTAAATATTTTTAAGGTTTTATTTCTTAAGATTTTTCATTCAAATAACCTAACATACATAATTTTTTTGTTTCTATAAACTTTTCTAACCCTTATAATAAAAGATTAAAATAGTTTGCTGATCAATTAAAGTACTTTGTGAGATATCTCTAGCATTGTACTGATAGTGCGGTTGTCTTTGTTTACTTAGTTTTATAAAGCCCTTACATTAAGATTCTCTTGCATGTAAAAATATTGGATTTGACATACTGGAGTTACAGAGCTAAGTCTTGACCCTGAATCTTAGGGTTAGTCAAAGAAATCAATTGAAAAGTTTTTATGAGGAAGTCCCATGCATCACTTATTCTTATACATCTTTTGGGAAAAACAACAGATCTCTAGCTGAGATAAATTTACATAGAAAAATAATACTAGTATAAAGATTATCTAACTGTGTCTTAGATAATTCATAAATATTAATTTGTAAAATAATACTTCATCTATAAAAAGTGCTAAATAATTGTTTTCTAATATAAAAAACATATACTATGTGTATCATAATGGTATAAAAATGACTATTAATTTTACTTGAAATATGAAATAGTTTCAGAATTTAGATGTTGTCATGAAATAAAGGTATTCAAAAGGTCTACTTATAATAAGTCCACAGGAAACTATTATTTAATAGTCAAATTTATATACATATGAGTATGGTTGACTAAGTCTGAACTTTTAATTAATTTGATACATATATATATATAACATTCAGAAACTAAATAATTAAGGAAAACTATGGGAAATTACTTGTTGATTTTGATTTAAGTAAGTACTATGTACATTAGAGAGTCTAATTCTTTAAAAGACGTGTATTGTTTACGCGCGATGATGGCACCGTACGAACAATGGCGCGCATTCGACGTGATGTCATCTTTCAAGGTGTTGATGCGTCCTTTCGTTTTCCTCGTCTTTGATAATTGCACTTGTTGCTCTATATTATCACCTCCATTTACAAATGCCCATGGGCTGAATTCAATTTACTGAAAAGATATGCGATAGCGTAATTTTTTTAATTCTTTTAAATTTGTTTTGAACACAGTTCGTATGTGCACATTAAGTTGTTTTTTATTACACGTAAGATTAAAACAGCTGCTTCGAACACTAAAAATATTAACCTTATAACGAAAACTCAAATTAACGCTGTGTATAAACGGGCAAGGGTTGTAATTAATTGAATTTGTATGTAGACGCAACAGATCGATCATGTTTACGTAACAAGCCACAACATTGCTTAATTCCTCGCGTGTGCCATACCGGCCGTTCCATGTTATCCGAACCTCTTTGTGGCTCGCCGCTTTATTATACTAACTCCGTTTACGACTTTAGCAATATCTCTAGCTAAATATACTTAGGTTGCAGGCTTTTATGTGCCATTCGATTAGATGAAAGACTCTAACGTAACGCCACTAGCGAAAAGCAGCGTAATTTAGCTATAACTTTTCCTTCCCCATCAATTTAAATCGGTCCATTGGATCGTGTAAAGTGTAGTAAATCGACAGACGTATTTGCTTTCACGTCATTAGTATAGGTGTAATTCTGTAATGGATCCTTAATGAAAGTTGCACAATTATGAATTGTTTCTATCAAATCTAGGAATCTAGAACGAGTAGTCTCTCACGTACTATGTGGATTGTGCAAGTTATAGCTGCAATGATGTTATTTTTATATTGATCACCTACAATACTTTGTGTTAACCTAGTACAATTAATTAGTTTTACGGACAGTAGTAAAATAATAAAATACTCATATAAGGTAGATATTAAAATTTTACAATACCAACAGCGATAAAAGCATCACGAAGTACAAAATACCAATCGATAGGAATGTTATCAACCTAGGTACTTACCTAGACGTTCCTATTTGCAGTGGCCAGTTCTTATCACACCATTATCACACAGGTATTCGTGCTGAACACGTAAATTACTTGTTACTCATCCATATTCTTTCGCAGTTGGAATAATATATATATGTATGTTTTATACGTCCATCTTCATCATAGCCGAAAATAAAATCAAACCTAGGTGAGACGGATAAACCAAACATTTTCATATGTATAGAATCTGTCTGGGAAAGGACACACAACAACCTCCAGACCGTGACGGTTGTGGGACGATTCACTCTAGTGCAAAACTTGACGTTTAGGTCGAACTACTACGAAAACCTACTGCGAAAACCTCTGAATTTTTTATCATGTCATGTCTTTTCTCTAGATAATAATTGTTGTTATACTCTAAAATATGTAAGATTTAAAGTAACGTAGGGGTATTTCACGTGAAGCAGACAGCGAAAAAAAAGTGAGGTCGTAGAATTGGTTTAAATTCGGGTTAATCATACCTCTAGTTGGTATGAACGCAAATTCGTTAAATTTTTTTATAATGTTTATATTTCAAGTTATATATTTTTTTTTAGTTTATATGTCAAATAATTTGTTTTTCAAAATTTATTTTCTAATTAAAAAGGGAAAAGTAATATCTATACGAATTGCAAAGCGTAATATTTTTTTTAGTTTTTTCTTATTAAAAATTCTACTCCAAAAAAAAAAACAGAATTTCAAGTAGCATAATTTTGGGTCCATGACTTAAAATGAAATGAAATGAAATAGTTTATTCTTGCAAGTAGGACTATATAAATCACTTTTACAATGTCATCCTAAACTAGATGAAGTCGACATTTCCTAACTGACTGCCCTGAGAAGAAATGTCGAACATAAACACCATAAAATTCTACGACCTCACTTTTTTCAAAGGAGACAAACTTAATATACTGTTTTATATCATAATGCATAAACATGAAGACACTCAAGGGATTGTAGCGCCAAATTTTATGAGGTCACGACATAAAGATGCGAGAAATGAACTAATTTAACACAACACATTCGGCTTCATGCTCTGATACGCCTATAAAGGTCAGACAATGAACTTTAGCGAATACGTGACTTTATCATCTTCTATGCTCATTTACCAGCATAACGCCCTTTAATTTATGAAGTATTGCCCGCTTATCATAAAAAATTTGCTTTCCCAATGGGCTGGGAACTCACCCACGAGTTACTGGCGTTGTTAATGTCGATTGACAGCCATTTTAACTTTTTGGGATATTTTTAACCCCTTCTGGAAACTGGAGTATACACGTGCCTACGTATATTCTTTAGACTTATGGATATTAATAAATCTATTAAGTGACCGTATCCAATGAATAAAATCACGTCTCTATAATGACTTGTAATGAAGTGTGAAATTACATATCAACTTTTTGTTTAATTTTTGCGAAAAAGCAATCAAAAACTGTCATGACAACACAAAGTTCGTGGTTATTGTATTCAAATTATATTTTTTATGTATGGTTTTAGGATCATGGTTATCACTCAGATCGAACTTTGTTTGATCACGAGCGGTATCTTTCTTGTCT